GTCATTCAGAGGTGTGCCTGAGGTCAAGGTTGACCAAAGGCGTCAGTGCTTCCTGGAATCTTTGGGTGAGCGGACAAAGGTGTTCAAGGGGTTCCGCTTCACCATGATGTCCTTCAGAAATGTGCCTGTGTTGCATGTATCACTCTGAAGCCCATTGATTCCCTCGCGGAAAAACAAGGTGAGCCGCTGCTTTGATTAGAATTTGAGTGAGTGAAGAATAATATTCAAATCAGACTTGAATATTCTGATTTTGAATAAGTTTGATTTTTGTTATATCATGCCCGTCCTCCCCTGAAGAAGGAAAAAAACAATCGTCATTTTTGGTTCCTCGTGCTTTCGTCGCGTTTCACAAGTCTCAACAGTTACAGGAATGGGGCCCCGATGTCATGATCCTTGTAACTGTCATCACTTTTGGACCTGCGTGTGGTCTTTGCGTCGGAAAAGTGCCAGAGGGAAGGCTCTTCCCGGCGTCGCGATTCTGGTAACCGTCGTCACTGTTAGATCTTCGTGCTGTTATACCTGGGGCTATAGCTCTCCTTAAACTCTATTGTGAGCTGGCGCTACATCCCAGGAACCTCCAAATAAACTCGTGTTCAATTGATTAGAAGAAATAAGGTAATAGCATTAGAAATGATATGGGATATGAAGCAGCACCATCTACGAATACCCACACCCTCTTAATATACCACCAGAACCACATGGACAGGACCACTGGAACCACAGGACCACAGGGGGAGAATCACCAGCGCAGCATAGGTACCATTGGGTGAAGTTTTGAGTTTCTTGCCAGTGCAACCACATGGCCAGCCGCCAACGCATGATGTCCTGTGCTCAAAGTTTCACTTGGTGGAGGGACTACCAGCACTTCTGTGCTTCAGCGTAGAAAAGGACTTGGCCGCGCTGCAGTCTGTGCCGGAGAGAGGACAGTAACGCACACGTTACCTTTCGCAGGAGGGGAAGAACCACCAGCGCAACATGACCACAACAACCGCAGGGTCCGCAGGGGGGAGGAGCAGAACCACATGGACAGGACCATCAGAACCACAGGGACCACAAGGGGGGGGAATCGCCAAAACAGGATAGGTATAACAAAGGGGAGAACTGCCAGCGCAGCAGGACAACAACAACCAAACCAAAGGTCCACAGGGGTGAGGGGTGACCATACTATCGGGGGGGGATCGGTGGGGGGGGGTGGGGGTTAGCAACGCTGGATCATATATATATGCATACATTGGTGATGGATGAACTTTTTTATGCCAATACAATACGATTAAGACACGCTCATCATGAGTATTATTAGTGGAATAAGGCAACTGATAAAAAAGAGTTAGTATCGTGAAATATCGTGGCAAGCGCGTCAAAGGGACAGATTTTATTTGTATATTTTACAGGATTGGTTTCACCGTGTGGATGAAACTACATCCATGTGGATATTCCAAGTCAATAGCGGTTACGGATCGGATCGTGACATGTCAAGCATGTCAGCAGCCAATGACCCGAAGCTTTCTGGCTTATGCGAGACTTGGCATTAGTGTCTGGTGCTGGCGTCTCGTCTGCCTCTGTTGTGGCAGCTCTTCTGCGGTTGCTTGCTGCTCCTTCGTCTGTCCCTGTCCCTTTCGACTGTCCTGTTTGCCCTCTTTGTCCCGACCCTGCTGATCTTGATCTTGCCTAGGGGTCTTACTCCTTCCCGCCTTGGAGGCGTTCTGGCTGCTCCGGGCAGCGCTTTTGCGACGCTTGGCGTCTCGGCTGCAGGCCGACTACTATCGCATCCCTAACCCGCCTGGCCTGCCTGAACCCTGCCACCCGTGTTTGGATTTTGCATTGCCTTGGCCTTGCCTGCCTTCCCCTCCGGCCTCGCCGGTCCAAGGCCAGGTGCCTGCCAAGGTCTTCCATGCAAGCTAGGCTTGAGGAGCTTGAGCGGTTGGTGGCTCAGCTTCAGCTGGAAGTGATTGAGCTCAGGGCAGTCCTGGGCGTTGAGTCCGGCAGCCAGCCGGCCTCTGTTCCTGCCGACGGGCACTTGGAGGACCGCCCTGGTTATAACTGGTTGGTGAATTTGGTATCTGTTTGGAGGACTTACGCCACTTAAGCGTAAGTGGTTCGTGACTGAGTTACAGCACTTAGAATGGGAGGCATTTATTCCACTTAGCGGTGAGTTACGGCACATAAATCTAACTGGGCTAAGTAGATTTTCCTACTTAGGAGCCACTTATGGCTAAGTGGGCTAAGTAGGTTAGGGGTCCCTCCGGCTAAGTAGGCTAAGTGGGTTACGGGGTACCCCAATATACTTTACACCAACTTAGCCTACTGAGCCTTGGGGAGGCCTAACCCACTTAGCCTACTTAGCCGCAAATCCACTTATCCTACTTAGCGAATGCCCCGCGTAACCTACTTAGCGTACTTAGCGATAAGTGCATTTTCCGAGTTAGTACACTTAGAAAAATGACATCTAAGTACCAACGTAAGTACTTGTTAAATGTGTCGCAACTGAATACTAACTCGCCTAACAACTTAGACCTTGGAATATGTACATACAGAAAGCCAGAAGTACTTATTAAACATCCTATGTGTTTTCAACATACTTGCCCTGGTTATAACGATACTTACACAATTTACATCACCACTTAGATTACTTATAATTGCAATTATAAGTACACGTCATGTACCTTAAACTGCCTAAGTACTTGTAAGCAGGGCGGCCCTCCAAGCAGTCCTCTCCTTTGGCTTCTGCCGCGCCATTGGATTTTGCTTCTCCTGTTGGCCGTGCCTTGCCTGGGTCCCTTGGACTTGAGACCCCCTTCAGTGTCAGCTTCCGCGTCCACAGCCGCCTCGCCGGCTCAGCAGTATCCCTTGCAGGGCCCTGGGCCCGCGAGCGCCGCTCGCCCCGAGGGGATTCCCCCTTTGCCTCGCACAGTGTGATATCGTGTGCCGCAACATCAATGCGTGGCTGCGCCGGTGCCTGACCGGCGACCGTCGTGGGGCCTCAGGGAGAGACCAGCTCCGACAGGGCTCAAGTGACTTTGAGGGGAGGGATTGCAGCCCTCCTCTTGTTTTCTCCAGCTACGCTCCGGCCAAGGAGCTTGTTAGGCGTGGCTCTTCTTTGGTTTGGGCCGCTCTGTTTGCATTGGCCTTCCGGTCCGAGCTGACGTGCAGTCAGTCTTTGCTTGCGGCGGGCTGGGTGAGCCCGTGTATTGCTGAAGATGTCCCTTTCGGGCAAGGGAGGAGGAGCTCACTTTGCCCCGGGACTGCCTGGTGCTCACTCCAGACGGGCCCGATCTGGAATATACTCTGTTGGGGTCTGGACTTTTGGCCCGCGCGGGGAGGAGACTTCTTGCGAGGTGGTGGCCCTGGCAGAGGTGGGGTCAAAGCTTTTGGTGGTGGTCCCAACTTCCGTCTGGCACAAGAAGGCCGCGCGGCGGATTCTGCCAAGGAATTCGCTCAGCAAGGTTGTAGGTCTGGATGTGGCTGCCGCAGCAGAGGGCGACCGCTCTTCGCCCGAGACTTCTTCGCTCCTCAAGGTTTGGGCAGGCTTTTTAGACCCCCACGAAGGCAATTTGGCTTTGGATGGGGACGCCTCTGCAGACCATGTGTTTGGCGTGGATGGGGACGGCCGCGTCTTGCTGCCGCACGGGGCAGCTTTGGCCGCCGCAGCCCAGGAATCCTTAGGCTACCAAACTGCCGAATCAGGCGGAGGCTCCGAAGCACAGGCCTTGGACTCGCGTGTAGCAGCTTTGGAGTCTTCCATGAGCAAGGTGGCAGCAGGAGTCAAGGCTTTGGTGGCCATGCAAGAAAAGGCGGGGGCAGGTGGAGGTACCGGCCCAGGACAGCAGCTGAAGCCAAAGGCTGCGAGCAAGCCAGCAGCAAGGCCGGAGCAAGGCCTGGCTTCATTCACTTGGACCCGACTGTGGCGCGGGCTGCGCTGGATGCGTGGCAGAGATGGACAGGCTGGTTGCTACAGGGCAGCAAGGCGGCTTAGGCGGAGGGTCTGGGTCTCGTGCTGCCGGGCAGCGAGGCGCCTCGCTGCAGCTCTCGGAGTCGGAGGACGTGCCGGAAGCGGAGGAGTCAGCTGTGCCGGAGAGAGCCTCGACTACGGATCCAGTGGGCCTGGCCTTGCAGAAGCTTGCTCAGGTGGTGGAGACCCTTGCGCAGGACAAAGCCAAGAAGAAGCCGTCGTCCCAGCTGGACCAGCTCCTCGATGGTTCAGGGGACGGCGCGTCTGGATCTCAAGAAGGAGGAGTCTCCTTGAGGCGGAACGCCGCCGCGAGGCGGGCTCTACGCTCCGCATTGGTGGACAATCCGCAAGTGATTTCCAAGACCATCATGGCTTTGATGGAAGAAGATCTTCACGGAGCTGCGCTGCCAGGCGCTCCGTCTCCTTCGACTGCCAGGGCTTGGGTAGAGCATCGATCCCGCATAGGCCCCTATCAGACGATTGCCAAATCAGCATGGGGGATCGCAGGATGCTTGGACTCACTCCGCATGGGGAAGCTTGCCGAAACGGAAGCCCGCTTGGCCATCCTGCTCTTGCAACTGGATCAGGTGGCAGTAGACCGCGGGTCGTGGACGTTGGCGTCCGAGCTGAGCCTCGAACCACCTGTGCCCCTCCATTCTTTCAGACTTCACGAATCGAGGGAGCAAGAGCTGATATACTCGCGGCTTCTCGACGCTCGCTGGGCCGAAATCGCACTCCATCATCTCCGCGACCAGGTGGATTTTATGGAAAAGAGAGAGCGGCTCAACAAGCCCCGCCCGACGCAAAGTGCCACCACCGCTGCGGAGGAGGAGCAGGAGAGCGAACTGCCCAAGCCCAAGGCCAAGGCAAAGGCGAAGGGCGGAGGGAAGAAAGGCAAGGGAGGCGAAGCCTGAAAGCCACTTGTGCCGCCGAGCCCGATGTGACTGTTCCCGGGGCGACTGCCCCAACGTTATCTGTGCCCGGCTTTTGGCACTCACTGCCCTCATGGATTTTCAAGTGTAAGGGCCCTTTTTCCACTTTTCTTCGTGCCATGATAGCCGCCGTTAACATGACGGCCAACACGTCGCTGGTCTGGCCCTGTCCTTTGCCTTATCCGGAAGTTCTCTGTCCTGGCCCGTGTGGCTCCGATGCCTGGCTTCGCAAGCGGATCAACCTTGTTGTGGCTTCGCTTTCTTGGCTTGCCTTGGGCTCACCTGCTAGGCCCCCTACTGGCTTTGGCAAAGGTCGGCCTCTGTCTCCTAAGCAGTGGGAGGCCGTGCGATCCTTGGAGCGCTTGGCCTGCGACCGTTCTTTGACTTTCAAGCTCGATCCTGCCCTAATGGGGCGTGCCGCTTCCAAAGCAGAGGACCACAACAAGGTTCTTGCAGCATTGGGTCGGGCCGTCTCCAGTTTTGAAAGCAGCGCGGGATACTTTGCACCTTCTGGCCGCGCTGGCTCTGCTCGCACGCCCTGGCCTCGTGACTTTTCGGCTGAGGATGCTCTGCCCTCTGACAGCAGCTCAGCGGGTTTTGCATCTCCGGCCCCGTTTGGACAGCAGTTGGGAAACCTTAGGGTTCCTCCTTTTTGCCCTGCAAAGCCGATCCAAGCCGATCGCCTTCGTTTTCCTCCGCCACCTTCTTTTGATCCAAGGCCCTACTTGGATAAGCCCACTGCGGCCCGCTTTGAGAGGCCTCTGGACTTTGCCTGCGTTGCTTCGTCTGATGTTTCTCTGCCGCGTGTTGGCATTCTTGCTTCAGTCGATGAGCGGCTGAAGCTTCTCCGCACTTTGGCCCAGACTGGGCGCCTGCAGCCTATCATGCCCTTGCCGCAGCGGGAGCCTGTGGGCGCTGGACTGTTTGCTGTGGTCAAGGACTTGACACGTGATAGGTTGATTTTGGACGCCCGCCCGGCCAATGCTCTCGAGAGCCCGCCTTGTTTTTGGACAGGTTCCCTTGCCTCAGCAGCTGCGTTGCTGCCCATCCTGTTGGGCCCTGAGGAGGAGATACGCATCTCTTCTGCTGACCTCAAAGACTTTTTCTACCTCTTCAAGGTCTCTGAGCAGCGCTTGCAGAGAAATCTTCTGTCAGGCAGCCTTGGCCCTTCCGAAGCTACCTTCGTGTTTGGGAGCAGGCAGCGAGCTTTTGAGGATTCAAAGGGCTTCTTGAGAGTTGCGTTGTCGACTTTGGCAATGGGCGATAGCTCAGCTTGCGAGTTTGCGCAGGGTTCGCATCTTGGAGTCCTTTTCCGCCACGGGGTCTTGCGTCCCGATGAGCTCTTGTGCCCAACCAGTGCTCCGCCCAGAGGGCTGTTGACCATCGGGGTTGTAATTGATGACTTTGTGATTCTCGAGAAGGTCACTCGGTCTGAGTTGCGCCTTGGTGGCCGGCAAAGCTTAGGACTAGAGCGGGCCCATGCTGCTTATGCTGAGGCGGGGCTGCTTGCCAACCCTGAAAAGGGCGCCAAGGATGAGTCTGTGTCTTCCTTCTGGGGGGTCACCCTGGACGGGCGCCGTGGCCTTGTCCGTGCAAGCCTGGCTCGCGTTGGCCCTTTGACTTGCATTACCTGCCGAGTGGCTTTGCTCGGGCTGTGCACAAGGCCGTTGCTGGAGTCCTTGGTGGCCCGCCCAGCACCGCCCCACCGCCCTCACCGCCCTCACCGCCCCACCAAGACGGCAGAGGCTCAGAAGCTTTGCGCAGTGCAGCCAGCCTCGTAGGGTCGTCGGCTGGGTTATCACCCGACCTGAAGTACCCCAACCCGGGTTGAAGGCCGCCAGAAAGAAACCCAGGCACAGAGCGTCTCAGCAAACCGTTTATCGCCCCCAACGAAGAACGTCCCTTGGCAACACAGGCTAACACGACCCGAGAGTCCAAGCCGGCCAGGAAACGGATGCAGGAGAAGGAGGCTGCCAGGCGGTCCTCCAGCCGGAGGTATGCGGCCAGCTCCTTGATGTTGATGTGTGTGCTGGGGCGGGCGTCTCCACAAAAGACATGTGAGTAAGACAAGCGCCTGGCAAGGCAGCGCCAAAGCGGGTGAGGGGTCAGAGTCTCGCCCCCAGGCAACTCGCTGTCAGCTTCAAGGAGCGGGCCCGCAGCCAGGCTTGAGGCTCCGACAAGAGCAGCCCTTCTTCAGTGAGGCGGTGGGGGCGGTGGGGGTCCCGCTGGCCAGCGGAGACAGTGGCCCTTTCGACACTTGGCTTGCTGCCTGCCCGGAGCTTCAGACTTCTGATGAGGAGTTTCGCCCTGAGCTGATTCCCTCGAAGCTTCGGCCCTGTGCTGTGTACACTGATCGTGCTCCCCCTCCTAAACCCGTGCCGCAAACGCCCGTCCTTCAGGGCTCCCCTAAACCTCTGACCCCTGAGCCTGCGCCTTCCGAGCCGAAGCCGGCCTGCCAGTCTGAGCCTGGGCAGCTGTGTCAGAGGGTTCCTCCCTCTTGAGGGTTCGCTTGATTTTGGCCGTGCTGGCTATGTAGACCTTTTCTCAGGCGAAGCGGGGGTTGCCCGTGAGGTGATTCGCCGCGGGGCGCCTTGGCCCTGACGTACGAGCTTCGCCGCTCTAAGGCTGAAGACCTTGATGACCCTCATGTACGCTCTGTCATTGAGGAGCTTGTCGAATTTGGTGTCTTTGATGCGCTGGGGGCTGCCCCTGTGTGCTCTTCCTTTTCAAGAGCCGTGCACCCGCCGTGGCGCTCTCGAGCCTTTCCTAGGGGTCTTCCAGGGTTGGGTGCCAAGGCTTTCCAGAAGGTGAAGGTAGGCAATGCACAGTCTGCTTGGTTGGGCTCCTTGATTAAGCGCTTCACCCGCGGGAATAGCAAGCCCTACTGGGCTGAGAACCCTGATGGGTCTTACCTTTGGCTGCTCCTTGAGTGGTCGCTCTTCGGCAAGCCCGCCTCTCAGCTCGTGTACCGCTTTGATATGTGCCGCTATGGCACGCGCTGGCGCAAGCGCACTCGGCTCGCTACCAACACTGAGCTCGCTGGAGCTCGCGCCTTCTGCAAGTGTGGCGGCCCCCATCAAGTCTTGAGGGGGCGCTCCGCACGACTTGTGGCAACAGAGTGGAGCAGCGTTTTTGAGGCTGCGCAGGTCAAAGACTTCCTCTCGAGGGCAAGCCAAAGTTCAGCATCTCAAGATTGAGGATGGCTGGGCGGTCCGTCTTTGTGGGGTAGCCTTTGGCGACCGAAACCCGCTGCTGCCGCTGTTCACCCTGAGTCCGTCTGGATATCGCTATCGCTGGAACAAGCTCCTACGCACGCTGGCTGTTGACAAATCCTTGAACCTCACTCCCGGAGGCCTGCGAGGAGGAGGAGCTGTGCACAGTTATCGGCTTGGTGTGCCGGTCAGCGAGATCCAGTGGAGGATGCGGTTAAAGAATCAAGCAACTTTGAGTTTTTACCTTCAGGAGGTTGGAGCCATCACCGCCTTGGGCGGTCTTTCCGAGGTCGCCCAGAGGAAGGTCAAAGCAGCTGTCAGCTGCTACCCTTTTCTCTGCTGAGCAAAGTAACTTGCCTGCGACTTGCGCTTTCGGTGAACCTACAGCGACGGCTCGAGCACGTCGGCTTCACACTGCCGAACTGGCCTGGGGAATAGGTGGAGGCAAGTCTTCGCTTTAGCTTGGTGCTTGGGTTGCACGACTTTTGGCTCGCCCTTTTCTTGGCGTGCATGCATCAGAGCTAGAGCCCTACCACTTCACACCCTTCACCAAGGCGCGTTGTAAAAAGAAGCTTGCTTGCAGCTTGCAGGGGGGAAGAGAGCTGCTTGACATGTCAAGCATGTCAGCAGCCAATGACCCGAAGCTTTCTGGCCCTCCCACCCGCCCGGAGGCAAGTCTTCGCTGTAGCTTGGTGCTTGGGTTGCACGACTTTTGGCTCGCCCTTTTCTTGGCGTGCATGCATCAGAGCTAGAGCCCTACCACTTCACACCCTTCGCCAAGGCGCGTTGTAAAAAGAAGCTTGCTTGCAGCTTACAGGGGGGAAGAGAGCTGCTTGACATGTTATTCAGCTTCCGTGCATTGGGCCTGCCTACAATTATTGCTTGCATTACGTGCGTTTATTCCGAATAAATGACTATGTTTAAACAGCTGTTGTGAGACCTTACAAGCCGGTGTTCAAAATGTCAGCTGGTACGTGCCCGCAACATGCCCATCTTTTTTTTAATGGTATTTCAAGTTTTCGTGCTGGTTGCTGCCCCATACATTTGTGATCCGGAATCAACACACATGTCCACAATTTCGTTTGTTGATAGGAGCACACGTGTTATCCCGTCGCAGCATGTTGCTTCTGGTGCAGCTTTGAACAAACCCATGACAATTGCAAAGAGTGCTGGCGTGTTTTTTGAATACCAGTGTCATCACATTTTTGGGCAATAATTGAAGTTTGATTGATACAGGCACATACGGTCACAACAACGACAACAACAGCAACAACAACAAGAACCATAAAAAACAATTACAAAACAAGCGCCATTATGCTTGACCCATCCAGAGTGAGCTTGCAACCCAAGTCTTGTGAGTCCCGTTATAAGTTTGCACTTGCGCAGCATGAAATTTCAAAGCAACATGAGGTGCTGAACATGAAGGGACTGATGCTGCCGTGGCCCTTTTGTTTCCATTAGGTGCTACATGCAACAAATGACGTGGAACCTTGCCGTTGTTTGTGGTGCATCATGATACATCTAGGTTTCGGCGGATCATTACTTGGATGTGCTGGACCAGGCGTGGCGAAGACTCGCGAAATCAGAGGTTTTTCCTGGCCTTGCATGGGCTTGGATTGGATTTCACCTTGTGCTGTCTCAGGAGGAAGTTGAAGGTTTTTGGGAGCAAGCGGGAGTTCGTGGTGGGACCGCCGCGTTGCAGTCCTCCAGTGCCTAACTTGCTTGTCAGATGTCAGTTGGTGTGCTAAACCAGCGTATTAAAGAGCACATGCTGCAGGAAGGATGACCCATGTTTCAACATTGATTGGGCTGCCGCCGGCAAGGCATTGTGTTCAAGCGTTTGCGGTGGTAGTTGGCTCTGCACCGCTTCGGGATTTGACAGGAAGTGGTGAACCACCCCAAAGTCAGGGAGTTGTGTGAGCTCGCGGCTGCCAGAGGTGGCATTTGCAGTGCGTGGACACCAGCAGTTTATACATTTTGTGTTATTGCATAGGTGGGCCACGAGCTGCTGCTGCGACGCAGCAAAAGGCTTCAGTATTGGCTAGCGAGCTTGCAGCATCTGTGGAGAGCAGGCCTTGTGGCAGGGCATTTCCAGTAGCGTCCTTGTTTGTCAGATTTCCGCCAGGTTCGCACATTTCACTTCAGCATTGGCTCGCTTTGGCTTCCAACGGCTCTATTCGGGTGTGCTTAAGCAGCAATTTGTCTCTTGGATGTTCATTTGCGGGTGTATTTAGCTGAAAGATACTGAGTTGGTATTCGAACGCGAGCAGCTGCTTGCTCTTGCGCGGCTGAGCGTGCGAGCACGTGAAGAAGGTCGCAGTATCATATACCTACCAAGCAACCTGGAAGGACTTATGTCAATCCCTGGCAAGGTTGGTGTCTGCAAAGTTCACGATGTCAGTTGGTAACCAAGGTCACAAAAGCCACATTGATTACATTGTGCTTCAGCGACTTGTCATTGCTAACCTTTGTTTGGTTTGTCATTGCTGCAGCAGAATTTGCTGACGTATTGCATGGTCTGGTACCAGGGCAGTTTCCAATGGCATGAGTCGGCATGAGTTCACGTAGGCAGGTGACCGGAAGGTGTGCTTTGATTGACAACAGTGCTTGTGGCCAATCTGCCTAGCCTGCGGTTGCCAAAGCAGAGGTTTTCGCTTTTCAACCTTGGGATGGGAGCACCTGCTATCGCTGCCGGGGAGAACCTGAACCTTCCGGTGGTTGGTGGGTGTCTGCCTCAGGCAAGGTTTCCTCTGTGTCAGCGTGTTTGGTTCTGCGCACATGTTTAAGCTATCAATCTAAGGCTCCTGCGACACTGCCTCAGAGTTGCTTGTGGCAAGTGGACGTAATTTCCGGCTTCAAACGTCAGGCCGCAACGGAGCCTTCTACATTCGGAGGACTTGCAGAAAGCTGGAGTGCAGGCTTGCGGAGCAATGTGCAACGCAGGAGTTTCTCGGGCCCGGACAGCGAGCTCTACACAGCTGTGGTTGCCGCGTAGCCCACTTGCAATCAATTTTGTGCTGTTTCTGTCTTTGAGCTGCCTGAGAGGTACATCGAAGGATTGCTCCGCCGTGGTGCAAATGTCAAGTTCTTTACGGAGGGTGGACGAAGCCGAAGTGGCAAGTTGAACCTTGCCTGCTGAGACGCTTCCAGTTTACGCTTTCCATGACCATCTAGGTTGTGATTTGATAAAGGTTGCAGCCCAAGATCGGTCTTCTCGGCATGGTCTTAGACCCTATCCTGGCTGGAGTCGTGGACGATGCTTACATTGTTCCGGTCTCCATTTACTATGATGGAGTCAGCCAGATGCACTTGAAGCCTGTTTGTTTTGTGCATGTGTGTCTGTGTAGCTCCCGTCCTGCCCAGGTGATGGAAACGGAGAGCTACGTCCGAGAGCTTTCCGGTTCGCAGAAGCGCAAGGACGGCTCTTGTGCCAGTGCTCAGCAGTTCATATGTTTTCCCTTCAGCTCTTTTGAAGAGGAACAATTTGTTTGAAGGCTGAAGTATGGGGGTTGTGTTTGTCAATTTATTTTGCTTGGAACATGAGTGCTCATATGCGGGACCTGGAAGCATCGAAGAGCAGGCAGGGCCAACAACTTGGCTCTGTTGTCCAATTGCTCTTGGCTTCGCTTGTTTTGCTTGTGGCATCCCATGGGTCAAGAAGGACAAAAAGTGCACTTGAATTTCTGATTCCTCCAAAACTTTGCATTGATCCTCTAGTGCTGCCTGTTAGATGATACTCGTTCTAAGAGAGCACGTGGAAAGCACAACAGACTAAAGCACGGGTCATTGATGCCAGTGCATCTGATTCTGACCCGCCTTTTTCTTTCATGCAGCGCTAGCCTCTTTTCAACTGGAAGCAGCTGCCAAAGATCCTCTAAGACTCATGTCGCGAGGCATAATCGTGCTAATGCAGATAAACAAGCTCTTTGCTGTCATGGTGGCTAGTCTGACTTGAAACGCAGGAGAGTTTGATTGGTGTTCTGGGACAAGGGAAGCATCTTTTGGCCATGCGACGCTCTCGGTATGGCTCCTGGCCTGCACAATGCAACTCTGCAACTCTGGCCTGGCAATGTCCGTACCTGGGTATACCTTGTTTAGCGATTTGCCGAGGAAACATACACGTGCGTTTCGCCCCTGGATTCAGTGCCAGAAGTCTCCCGCCTGCAAGTCCTGGGCAAGGAGAGACACTCGTGAGCTACTGCACAACTCAGGTTATATTGACAATCACATGGCTGTGCAGCGTCAAGCTGCACCAAACAGGGCAAACTTCAACCCTGTAAGTACCATGGCAGACAAGCAGGTGCTATTGAAGGCTAGACCGTCTGTCATGTTGCTGAATTCCGCAAAGCCAGAGGGCCAGGCTTCAGATACACTAATGCGGGAACAGAAGCATGCAGCAATGCATGAGAGCGATCCCTGGTGACTGGTATTGTTGTGCAAAATGCCTTTTTCTGGAGACCTTTCGGGGGCGATCAATGAATTTGCCTCTGGCTCAGCGCCGCAGGCGTTGGCGTATCATGTCCTTGAAGAGATCAATCGTGTCTCAAGCGTGACCCCGACCGCGCTGGCTGTGGCCTTATGTTCATAAGCCCAGGGCCAGGTTGAAGCATACTTTTCAATCTTCCAAGGTTGGCACGGTGCTTCTTTGCACCCTGGGCCGTGGCATTGGTCGGAAAGCCCTCATAAACAAAGTGGACTGGCTACGGCGAGAGGCAGAAGCAAGGGTTGTTCTGTCATTACCCAGCCAGAAGCTTTGTCCGTGGCCTGGTTTGCATGGTTTGCTGCAGCCTTTCCCATGTTGGATTTGCCTTCAATGAAGTCTGCTAGAACTCTAGGCAGCAAGTCCCAGAAAGCAGACGGAGCCAACTGCTGCAGTGCATGAAGATGAAGAGACATAGTCCCAAAGATGTTGATGGCTTCCCAGCAGATCACATACAGCAGGGTCCGACCGGCATGCTTTGTACATGTTTTTTTTCTCGTAGGGAGCTTTGACTTCGGACTGGCAGCGCATTATGTTTGCCTGCTGGCAAGTTCAAAAAAGGTGTGCGAAGTTGCAGAGTGTGAGAAAGACATTTCACAAAGTGCCCAATGAAGCTTGATTTGGACTCATTTTTGCGAAGCCGGGGATTGAAAGGGTTCTGCTGACTCTCTCCATTTTGTCACCATTTGTGCGCAGTTAGTTGAGCCTCCCGACTGGAGGCACCTGCCAAAAATCATGCGCTCCTGAAATCTTTGAATTCAAACCTCCAGCTTTAAGGCCTCCCCTGCAGGCAAAGCGCCTGGACTTCCCATAAGATACTTTAGCCAAAAAAGTGCAAACAAAAAGGCATCTGATAAGGGCATCCTGCCCACAAGCCTACACGAAACTGCTTAAACGTGACCAACCACTCAAATATGCAGAGGCCAGGTCACATGTACAAGCGTGCTGCAGCAATCAGCCTTCGGTAGTTTTTTGAGGAGCGCTGGGGCATGCAACGTCATTCCATGCCTCTTCATCCTGGCAGCCACTCACGATCACGTAGGAGTTACCTAGGTTTCCAAGAGGGTCGGTAGGCACAGCATGTTCGTTCGTGCCATATTTTGTCGCTTGTCATGGTGGGGATGGCCTGCTTCATGTCCTCCCACTCCTGCTATCTTAGCATCAAGTAGCATGCACATGACGTTTTGTCGGATGCATGGCCCTCCATCTTGCCGGAGCGCACGATGTCAGTATCGATGCCCATGGTGTGGTTTGAGGCCCTCCGACTCATCATGGAAAGGGCCATGTGCCTCACCATCCCGCGACATTAAGGGGAAGTTCTTGTCCAAAGCGTCGCCTTCCCTCGATCCGAAACTCATAATGTCCTTGTCGATGTCGGTGGTATGCTTCATCTCCCCCGTTGTCTTGCAGTATGAAGGTAAAGCTCTGGTCCAAAGCATGGTCTCCATCTTGCCGAGGCCACTGTCTATGTAGCAGCAACAGGCGTTCTGTAGTCCCCAAGCACTTGTCACCAGGCATTATGGAAAAAGGCGGCCAGGGATCAAAGCCGCAGCAAAGCAAATTCCAACATCAGCGAGGCCATAGACTTCCAAGCTATTGTCATACCTAGAGTGACAGGAACAAGGCCACGAGTATATGCCCTCGCCAGAAGCAAGAACGCTAAAGAGCAGGCTTCCCATGCACCCTCACGACCCAACTCATTGTGTGGATGAACTAGATGTGCACCCTGTCACACGCGCCATGTAAAGGTTCCAGCCCATGAACGCCAAAGCCCGCGAACACAACTGGGACCAAGCCAAAATCTGTCATGTAGACTTTTGGCCGCTGGAAGCTGTTGCAGTGCAGCGATGTGGTCGACCTTGCCTCCGGACCAACAGGCCGTTCCGTAGAACTGGGGCACTACAAGATACCGCGCTATCCGGGATGACCCGCACGAATCAGTCGCGAATCTCAGAGACATGAGAGACATGTCATGATTCTTGGGGACCTAGAAGCCTACTCTGTGTCATGAAGCCTGTGATTTATTGGATCCAGATGATTTGTGCAGGTCGTCCGATCAGGAGGACATATGTGACACGGCTGATATTTGCGGAGCATGGACGGTTTCCGCTTGCATGGCAACCATTTGGAAGTTTATGGAGCTGTGAAATATGATGAACATTCAACTTCACGTACAAAAGCCTTCAGGGAATCAGAATTTCAGAGCCCATAGGTCGAGATTTTACGACTTTCCTGGTGAGCTCACAATGGAAGTCGTGGACTCTGCCTTGACAGTCCTTGGCAACCTAGTGCAAACTTTTACAGGCTTGAGCTGCAGTAGGTTGTGCTGTATGCTTGTGACGGTCACTGTTGGCGAACTCCTGCCTCCTGCAGGCTTAGTGGAACCAGTGTACTGTGTCGCACCTGGTATGCACTTCGAGCTATCATACTACAGGCCGTAACCCTGTTTTTGATGGCAGCTGTGAGGAAGTTGAGTCAATGCAAGTCGGGCATAATCCTTTCCTGCCGCACCCAGCAAGAGCGCAGGAACATGTGCGTGCACGTGTTCATCCACCAAGCAATTGTGACAGCAGTGTTGCATCGAGTTGTGCAGACGCCCCTCGGCTATGCAGAGCGTCCACACTGGAGTGCTTTGTCAGCGTGAGGCGCCGTAGATGCCCATCCTGAGAAGTAGCGTCTCAGGCAGCGGCCTGATGCTGAACGAGTTGAGCGAGCTGATGTGATGTCGGAGCGCTCTCTGTGTACTCCGAACACGTGAACTTGCGCAAAGTTACAGGTTTTTCAAGCATGTACAAGTTACCTGCAGGACGTACGATTCCTCAGTCGGCTTTTGAAGCGTGACTTGACCTAAAGCCATGGGACAAGTATCGAAGGCTCACTTGACGAAAGTTTACAATGCCGCTGTCGCACTGCTTGCTTGAACATTTTGCATCACTTTTTTTTGTTATGCTGTCGTGTCGTACTTAGGGTCATGCCGATTTTTTGGTACCCACTGTGCTAGCCCTCGTTGGCCACTGTGCACGATTGCGGCGAAATTTGGGTGGCCTGGTCTGAGGTGAGTTTGTGTTCTCGGGTGCTGCAACTCCGGGTGGTTTACCACCGAAGCAAGCATCTGGGGAGCACTGGGGCCAAGACATCCCAGTGGCATCTTGAAGGAACTTAGGGTCTTTCTTCGATATATGTTCGCAATGGGTGATTGGACGGCAACTCAACTCTGTCTTATTTTTCCCTCGCTCTGCTGCAAGAGGGGTCTACTCTCTACACTTTTGAAAGCTTCTCTGGGGATTCAAGCCCATAGAATCAGCAGGCATTTCATTTGCGTGGTAAAGGTGGCAGCCCTTTAACTCTCAGACAGTGCTCGGCAACGGACTTCTGCTGCAGGCACGTTTTACTGAGAGGAGTTTTAGGAAGTTCCAACCGTTGTGCTTCACAGATTTGAGCATCGTCTTCTTCCAAAAATGGCCGCATGGCTAAGGCTAAAAGCACGCTAGCTGAAGGGCATTCCCGTTCAACAAGGGGGCTGTGAGACAGGCTAGATCATTGGCATCAGGTGCTGAGTGTTGTGTGGTGCGGATCTGAGGCACTCATGAGAAACTTCGAATCTGCTCTGGAGTTGTTGGTGGCTGAAGGGGTCGTGGATGTGTGCGATACAGCTTCGAAAGGTGCCCAGCGTTATCTCAATAGTGGCCCCTGCTAACCCGACTCCATGTGCTGTTTCCGTGTCAGGAGGGCCGATCTCCTTGGAACAGTATCGCCGGGCTCAGGAGATTTGCGCATGTCTTTCGGATAGGAAGCATCCAAGTAGGAGGCAGACCTCTTCTGCTTGTTCCGCATTCCTGTTCATGCTCGAGTACTGAATCCCCTACATCACATGAGACGGATATATGTGCGAATATGCAATGTAGTGTATGAAGTAGTCTAAGTACAGCAAAGGGCCTAAGGCAATTGACCTGGGAGAGGCCTAAGGCAATTGACCTGGGAGATCCTGGGAGCTGTACGGAGTTGGGATTTCTGCAACCTCTTAGTTTACGTTGAGCGCGGGGGTTACTTTTTTCGGCTAAGGTTTTCAAGGTGTTTATTTCTAAGCAGATGGCACCCAAGGCCTGATTTTGGGTGTAATTCCTCCACAAGCAAGCCTTGTTGCCAGTGTGCTGGAAGGGTCGTTTTGTAGCTTTGGAAATGGAGCATGTTGTAGGCAGCCATAGCAGCAATGCCGATTGTAAGCCATCCCTGGCAACGGAAAATAAACCTCTGTTTTGGATTGGTTGGATTCAGATTTGTGCCGATCCTTCCTCGTTCTGGATTAAAGGCCTGTCATTCTCCAACCACATTACGTACATCAGGTATCCTCAGGTTTGTAACTTGACCCCCCTGCTAACCTCGAACATGCTCGGGTCCTTGTACTTGCATTACGTGTAGCTAGGCATGACCTCATATTGTTGAGTTTTGCCACGGGCGCGAATCCCAAGATAATAACCAATTTTTGCAGACTTACTTCTTTCCTCGGATGTTTGTTTCCATGTGCCGTGCGAGCGCGAAATCAATGCAAAGAATCCATATTCCTTTTTCGATTCTTTCCGATTACTGGAATTCCTACGTATTGCGATGTCCCAATATCTGCACGCGTTATGATATGCTTCTTGGCACAGATTGATACTTCTACCATCGAGACACGTCAACATGGAGCGTAGGAAGGACAACTCAAGCCGCCACAGGAATTTGTAAAATGAAATATGGACTTCAGGATTAATTTTTCCTGGCACTTGTTGTTTTCAAGGGTCTCGTGCAAGAAGAGTTACATCAGTTGTCACGAGACCACGCGGTGTGCATTTTTTCCTGATGTTGTCTATGCAGGAGATGGGTGGATATGAGAATTGGAACAAGCACTTCACTTTTCTATGTTCTTTGGTTTGGCCGCTCATTGTAACTCGGCACTTTAATCAGCCATGTGGCAAGTTGCCAAGCATGATCAGTGGTGGCCATGTCTTGGCATCTAAGGAATCCTACTGGCTGGTGCTCGAACTTTGGCTAATTTCCAGCCTGAACTTGCAATTCAACGCTGAGGTTCTTTCGTAGATGATGTCTAATACAATAAAGGCAGCAGGATTCCGCTTCAGCTTTGACTACAGCTCCAGGACAGCTGGAGATTGTACAGCATGAGCAGGTCAGGAGATTCCCAGTTGTCGTTAGGCACTGCAGCAGAGCCCATGCTGGCAAAAACTGATGATAAATGCAAAGAGATGATTGTTTTTGCGGCATGCGGAGAAGCACGTTTGAATTGTGAGGGCGAACTAATGCCGCATGCCCAATGCCAACTTCTGCCGAGACAACTTGTAAGAACGGTAGTGTTGTGCATTAGGCTTCGCTCCTCTACATCTTCCGCAGTGGAATTGTCATCGTTGGCGAAAAACCAGCCGTGGCGTACATGCAGAGCTTTGCCAAGACGCTTGTTCACATGGGATACGTCCAGTACCATGAGGCACCAAGTGCCACGAACTGGGATCGGCCAAATGCACGCTGATACAAAGCCTATGGGTTTGTTTGCCCTTTGCCTTCAGGCTGCGTCAGAAGAGCCACTCCGGAAGGCACTTCAAACTTACAGTGAGCTGGGAATAGTCAGATGGGCCAAGAGGACAGGCAACCAAGGCGTGACGCGGCTGCTATTAGTTCTTTTGTGTGTTTCAGGGTGTAGTCTGTCTGAGTTTGGGCAGTATGTCTCTGAACATCCAAGGAGCCAGTGGTGGCGCTGGAACTTGAGCCTGAATATCGAGGCCTTAAACGGGCATAGTATGTAGCACATGAGAGAGAGAGGCTAGGCTGCTGCATGCACTTGACAAGTGGCACATGCTGAGAAGAGCAGAAGTGCAGAATCAGCACAGACGCACTTCTTGAGTAGCCACAAGACGGGTTCCTGTTTACCCTTCTTGCGTGGCAGCGGAGCATAGCTGCAAACTGCAAATCACGAAAGCTGCTGGCTTGAGCTCTCTCGAGCTTTTCCAGTACGGGGCACACAAGGTCTGGAAAACCTCGAAGGAGGGATAAAATCATAGGATGTGCGGGGAGCAATATTGACTTCCTCATAGGAATTCGAGGTTTTTGGAGGGGAGGGAAGGGGGGGCGTCATTGATTTTTTTGTCACAGGAATCCCAGCCTCCTGGCATACGTTCGTTACGGGTTATTTGTCTTCTCAAGCTTTGTTGGAAACCAAAGGGAACCAGAGGAAAATTTACGGAAAGATAAAGAGAGCCAATCACTAAATAATTACTTGCACTTACTCCGCATGAAATGTGTTTTGCCATGGCACAAGCAACATCGTCCCTTCTGAACCAAACTCTGTCCGCAGTGTTCCGTCCATTGCAGGTCATTGTACTCATCAAACTTAGTTGTTGCATCAACCCTCTCGATTGTTCCTCGATAGAATTCCGTACCCCTGTACGTTCATGACACAAAGATCATGTTTGGTTGTTGCACCAAACCTCTCCATGCTCAGGGTACTAGGGTTGTCGGTTCTGGTGGTCGCATATTTCTTCCTGCACGGCATGGTTGTGGTACGAGTGACATTAGGCTTGGTGGGTGCATCAAATCTCCCTCCTTTCTCTTTAGTGTTCCAGGCCCTGGCAAGGTCATGATGCGAATAGCATGATGCTAGTGGTTTCATCAACCTGCTTCCCGCCTGTCGTTAGTGTTCACAACCTTGCGAGATTACGATACAAGCAAAATCATGCTGGTCGTTGCGTCAGACCTTTGTGCGTCATCTGTAGTGACCACCACCTTTGTATGGTCATGGGACGAGTAACAACATGCTGGGTGGTTGCATCAAATCTTCCTCATTCTGTTGTGTTCAATACCTTTGCAAGGTCTTGGTTCAAGCACCTGCTGACTACTCTTGCGCAGTCATGCTACAAGTACCATTATGCTTTGTTGTTACAAGCAGCCTCTCTATTCTTTGGGGCGCTGCTCGTGGTTGCATCGCGGTTCCCTACTCCGCCAGTGGTGCGTGCACTTGATGGTCCTTGTACCGAAATCATCATGCTTAGGTCTTGGTTGTTGCATCAGGCCCTCATCCTCCTCCTTTGTTGTAGTCACTGCTCTTGTGTGGTCGTGATGCGACCTATGTCATGCTTTTTGGATGCATCAAATCTGCCTCCTCCCCTGTAGTGTTTACTACCTTTGCATGGTCAGGATACGAAGAACATTCAACCTGGTGGTTGCATGGAGCCTCCCTGCTTTTTCTGTCGTGTTCACTACCGTTCTAACTGCCGTGTTGGCGATTGCATCTCCCCTCCGTGGTGTTCACTACCCTTGTGAGGTCATGGTGCGGGTAGCAACATGATGGTTGGTTGCTTCAAACCTCCCTATTCACTGGCAGTGTTCACTACTCTTGTTTGGGCATATTATGAGCAAGTCAATGTCGAATTTCCCTCGTTCTCTTTGCAACGCTCGTTGCCCTTGCATGCCTTCTCGTAGTCCATAGTGTTCCTTAAGCATGAATCAAATCGCATCTTCTTGGTGCATCAAGCCTCTGGACTACGTTGGGTAATCAGCTAATCATTAGTTCAACAACATGCTTGATGGATCTTGGTGGCTTTGATTGAGCCTTCCCGAAGCGTTCCGTAGTGTTTGGTAGCGTTGCATGGTCACTATATGCATATCTTGGTGCTTTGTTGCTGCATCAACCTTCTCCGTTCTTTCTGTCGTGTTCCGTACCCTTGCACCGACATGATACCAAGATCTTGCTTGGTTGTTGCATCAAACTTCCCTATTCTTTCTGCGGTGTTGACTGCCCTGGCATGCTCACAGTATCTCAGTATCTCATAGTACTCATGACGTGTTTTCCGGTAGTCACATCTAACACATCTCACCCTTCTACTCTCCCTGTACCATTCACTGCCATTGCATGGTCGTGGTACCAGTCGCATTAGGCTGCGTCAAAGCTCCTTATTCGCTCCGTAGTGTGCCATGCGTCGGCAGGGTCCTGATGCGAAGAACATGAGTCTGGTTGCTCCCTGCTTGTCTCTGTAGTGTTCCCCCCTGTAGTGATCACTGCGCTACGTGCAACATCCTGCTGGGTTGCAATGAACCTTCCTTCTCATTCTGTCGTGTCCCAGACCTTTGCAAGGTCTTAGTTCAAGCCACTTCGTGTTTCATTTGACACTGGGCCCAAGCATGGTCATGCTACCAATGATATCAGGCTCGGTGGTTGGATTAAACCTCCCTATTCTTTGATTATTGGTGCGTACCCTCGCATGGTCATCGTACCAGACACATCACGCCTGGTTGAGCATCTAGCCTTGCTACTGTCATCGCTTTTGGAGGGTCGTGTCTTGGTTGCGTGTGAAAAGAAGTGCCAACGGTCACAGGGAGTTGTGGAGTGGAAAATCAAGTGGACAGAACAGGGCAGTGTTGGCGGTGCAGAGGGGGGTGGAGAATGCAGTGGAGAGTGGAGTGGAGAGCGGAACAGAAATTGGAGCGTAGAGTGGAAAGTGAATTGGAGCAGGGTGGTGTGGAAAGTGGGGTGGAGAGTGGAGTGGAGAATGAAGTGTGGAGAGGAGTGGAGCGTGGCATGGAAAGTGTGGAGAGGAGAGTGCGTGGAAGGTGTCATGGAAATTGGGGCGGAAAGTGCAGTGGAAGTGGAATCTAGAATGAGGCGAGCGGAATGGACAGTGGTGGCAAAGTGGCTTGAAGAGTGGAGTGGAAAGGTTACTGGAAATTGGAGAGGAAAGTCGAGATTGGAGCATCGAGCCTGATGTGTGGAGAGCGGCTTGGACTGGAAAGTGAGAGTAAGCAGTGCCAGGCCAAGGAGATGACAAGTTCAGCCAGTTGGTTCACCTGACGAACGAAGTGGCCTCCTATCGCCGGTGCTGGCGGGAACAGGCATGGATACATTTAGCAAAGTGACATTGTTCATGCTTCTCAAGAACGGCCACGTTTGCCGTGCACATTTTTGATTTAGCATTGTTTGAAGCCACGAGGAGGGTCCAGATGAATATCCAGACTACATCGCTCGATTGGCCTTTGGAGTATCCAAACTGTGAGCATCGTTTCCAGAATTTGCAACGTGCACGGATGTGTTTGTATCGTTCCCGGCAGGGCTCAGCGCAAAGTGCTGAGGCACAAGCCGCATCATTCACAATACTAGCCACTAGCGGCTGCCGCTAGGATCAGGGGTGCCCAGCTCGACGCTGGTCAGCACAATATGTGAGGCTCAGGTACACTGACTGCTACATTGAGTAGTGTTGTCACAGATCGTACACTGCGCTTCTCTCTAGACATGGAGTCAGTACTGTGAACTTCTTTTCAAATAGATCCCTTTAGATTCGTATTGCAACATCGTAGTACCCGAAACGTTCTCGACTCAGCCAGCATGGCGAGGCAGGTGATTTTCAAGGAATTTCAGATTCATACTTCATGCAGTCAAATATGTGTTGCAGAGTCTAGTTGAGCGTTGTACGACCTTGCTTTGTTCGCCAGTCTGGAGTCTCAGTGCCTGCTGCTAATCCGGTAGCCTTTGGGTTCTTCAATCATCATGTTCACGTATTTGCATGTTGCGGCTGGCTTGAAGCAGGGAGGGCGTCCTCCCAGCATTTTTCCATTCCCCTTGTCCCTGCGCGTGCCGCGCTGCCGCGTCATGACAATCAGGCCGGTGACTCAGTGGCCTAAGCTATGCTGCTCTGCCGACTGGCTCAGAGAGCAAAGTTGGTTTCGTCATATCAATGAAATGTTTCTTTTGGAGCATGGGACAATTTTTCAGTTTGGATTACCGAGGCTAAACTACCATAATTCCCAAGATGCAAACTACCTAAGGTCATGCAGGATGTTTGTTCAACCATACCCATCCACGGAACGCACGCCCCTTTTTCAGATGCACGCCAACACCCCATGAAAACTATGAGAACCACATCGGAAAAAGAAGTGGCTAGCTTCCTGCTTACCACAAAGCTTGATTGGGAAATCAAAGTCATTCCAGGCATTTCTTCCTTATCCACTGAGTGTTTTGCCCTGCAAAGCCGACGACAAGACGTGCGAAATTGCAGAGGGGCGCGTTTTCCTGAGCCAACATGTGGGGCAAGGATGCTGTGACACTGTGGAAATCCAGCGTGCTTGGAGTGGACGTGATCATTTTAGCCAGCATCTATGCTTTGGATATCGGGAGGACGTGAGGAGGATGTAAGTATTGTCTCGGCTAGCATAGATATCTGGCATATGCAGAATGCAAGCTCTGAATTCGCAAAAGCAAAGACTCCGTGGCCAAAAGAAGAGTGGCTGACGTCTGAAGCAATATGTGCTAGAGTTGACTCTTCGGCGGCCACTTGGCGCCTTGATGGTCTTTTAGGCCACCTCTCTGGAACCCCGAACTTCTGATTGCTCGTTGCCTTACTTGGCACGCCAGCAGTTGTGAGATCTGAGGCAGTCTCGGCTGTTCTTGCTACTAGCCTGTCTGGTGGTGGGCCGCTAAGTTCCTCTTTCCACCTTTTAGACTCTGACATATTCTCGTGTTCAGGTGGCCGTTTGTCTGCCTGCCGTATCCTTCGTAAGCAGCGGAGTAAAGCTGAGGCGGGTGCTGCTGCTGCAGCTCAGCACACTATCTCACACTCTCATCGCATGCAGGCTTCCTTCCCTTCAACATGGCCCAGAGATGAAACCTTAGTTGAGTCCATTGCCGGCCTAGCCGGCCTAGCCTTACCATCATACATGGTGCTATCAATCTCACACCCTAAGGCCCCAGCGCGCGGCTGACAGTCTCTTTGGCCAGGAGCTTGACACCTGCGCGTGTCAGGTTGATCTGCCTTGATGCTTGGCTTGCAAGGTGCCTACGCTGGTTCAACCGTGCTCGCCGCTGCCGCACTGGAGCCCAGAATCCTGCAAGCGCGAAGCGACGTGATGCCTTTGTGCATGTTAATTGATGCATCAGTGAGCTTGATTCAGGCTGTGACAGCCTTTGCTGCTGGCCTGCAGCGGTCGAGAGTTACGAGGCATCTTGGGCAATCAGCAGCTCCAAAGGGAACCCTACATGTACGGGATCAAAGCATCACCGTGAACGAGGTATGGCCAGATCTGGGGATGGCGTGATGATTACAAGAAGATGGAGCGAAACTGGTCGTCCCTGCCTGTTGAGCTAGCTGTGCTGCTGTTCTATCAGCCCTGCTGGCAGGGAAGAAGGACAGCAAGACAGAATTCCATACAGAAATTATATTTACGGACAGCATGGCCCGGGCCTGAATTGCCGGATACATGCCGGCTTGCGTGTCATCGTGTCATGGTGCGGACCGGAGAGCTCTTTGACGTACTCCTCATTTTATTTGATCATGCTGAGGCTTCAAAAATTGTGAGATCGACCCACGGCTCAGGCAGAAGGTGCTCGAGCGTCTCTGTAAATGTGCAGTAAACCCATCACTGAATCATGTCCGCAAACTGCTGAGGGCTTTGAAGAGTTATCGTTTGAAGGCTTGAGTTGACCGTCCCCGGGTAAGTCAGGGACCCATTGTCCTTCCGACTAGGGTCATAATTGCACACCAGAATGCAGCTTTGAATTTTGGTTTGTTCTAGCTTATCACGTTGTTGGAACATGTCGGGGCATCATTGTGGAGGCGCCTGCACGCATGGCCCTGAGCCGTGTCACAGAGGCCCCATGTTGGCTTTAGTATCCATGCAGTTGTCCTGATTTGACCATGTGCTGGCACCTGTTCCTCGAGCCGGAAGGCCATGGCCGTTTTCGAGACGCAGGCGCTGCAATGCTGCTGAGCAAGCACCGTCGAGACACTATACTGATATATACTGGTACAGTCGGGGGAACGTTGCACGTTTGGCGAACCCAATAATGAATGATGCCCTGAAGACGGTGTGCCATGTATGCCCGTTTCAGGCAGCGTCACACACGAACCAGACAATGAGCCACAACAGCGCCATATCATTGAATGTCTTTGCCTCTCTGCAAGGTAATGAGAATGTAATGAGGAATTATGATATGCCCTACGCTTGATTCAAAGTGCGGACTATGGCACACCATTGAGCTGTGCCACTTGCGGCATTCTTAAGGCGATGCAGCCGGAGAATGCGAGGTTTACTATCTGGAGCAGGTCTAAAGGAAATGGGCCTGTCCAGCTTCGGGACGTCCTATCCTGTGCGACCTCCCTGCCGTGGCCCCTTGTTTCTCTGAAGCTCAGGGCCTGAGCAAAAATCAAACAGGAATCCATTATTACTCCGTTACAGAGGTTGGTCCTAGAAAAAAACCGTCAACACCGTCTGAGGTGGGGTGCCGCGAGGCCCTGCATCGCGTGACACGAGGGGCCTCGTGTCACCCCCGTGCTTCGGACGGTTCGTGGAAGCACTTTGTGAAAGTAGCTGTTTTTTCCTGTGAGTTTGGCCTAGAACTAAGAACCTTGGCTCAAGTGCCGTATTGTTGGGGAGGTCAGGCTTAGCAACGATCAAATCCTGTAGCCCAAAACGCTGGTGTTGATGTATTCCTCTTGCCAGTGGTTCGACGATTCAACGCAATCAATGTGAGAGATGGTTGTCGGACCTCAGAGTGCACTTCAGCAGACAGATCTTTTGAAGCCAGAGTTTGTAAGATCAGCAAACCCGCTTTAGAAGTTTGAGTCGTTTCCAGGACAAAGACTACTGTAGGAACTTGGGGGCTGGGGGCGTGGGGAGGTCCTTCTTTCTTGCCCAAGGTTGCGTGTGCCACGGCAGTGGGTTCCTGTATGAGGCGTTTCCATGCTGAACTCGACTCTTAGTCATTGCCCGAAACGAACTTTCTCTCAGGATCGGTGGCGTTGGTATCGCACACGCCAGAATCATAGGGATTTGGGAGGGGTGTTGAGGAGGGGGGTGTAAAGTGGGAGGTCATGTTTCTCGAAGACAGCCTTTCAGAAGACCTAAAGCGCCTTTGCAAAGTGCATTCAAGGTGCAGTTCCCAGCCATTCCAATGAGCCAAAAGCGATGTTTTTTGGCATGCTTGGACTTTCCTGGTTTCAGTGAATGACAGGATTTCTACCGAGCTGAGTTTTCACAGCTTACTGCGTCTGACGTCAAGGAGGTGGGAATGGTTTTGGGCAAACAGAGTGTTCAGCTTCTCCCCCGCCAGGTTGGAACGTTTGCGATCAAAGCTGAATCAGGGGAAACCGTCAGTCCTGCAGAGGCGCAGGGGCAAACTGGGCAATCAACTTGAGATCGCACAGTGGAGTCAATATTCAGGTTCCCGAGTACGTGCCCATCAAACGTGGAAAGCGGATGGAAAAGGAACCCGTCCGGGGACCCAGCCAACCTAGATTCAGCAAAGATGTTTGGGTTCTGCATGGCTCTGCTCAAGACTACACGATTGTGTTGACCTCGCTGTGAAGACATGCATATAGACGCACCTCTCTTATCTCCGTACACATCTAGTTGTGCTCTTATGGAGGCAATTTGCGTGGGTTCGAAAACTTGTTCCGCAGAAAGAGACCACAATGACCTATTGATGGTATCTACTTTGCAGAAGACCTGTACGCAGATGTATTCAGTTGACAGGTGCTGACGTATCCAGGCTCAATGCATTTCAGAACAATCTCTGAGAAAGAATTTTGCTACGGCGCGGAAGGCCATAGACAGACAAGCTATACATGAAAGCATCTATGCACAGATCAGAGAGCAACTCAGAGCAACATGGTCGCATTTGTGAAGATTCCGGAGAGACTTGGAAACGAGCGAAACTCAGACTGTTTAGACACATTCTGAGAACACACCCATCAGACCCTATGAAGCAAGTCAGCTTGGCAGCGTACGGTTTACATCCTAAATGTATTAGAGTTCGTCGTCCAGGGCGACCCAGAGCTGACTGGATTACGGAAAGCTATGGAGATGCTTATAGGATCATGTGTCCACATGGATCACCTTCTAGAAGTTAGAAATCAAGATCAGCAAAGCCTGCCCTTTTTTGGGTTACCCACCCAAACCTACGGCCTCTCTGTGTGCTTGCTCGAGGTAATCTCTTAGACGTCGATATACGGTGCTCATCACATTGTCCTTCCACGTTGGCAGTAGAAGAAACTAGTTCTCACCTCTTTCTCAGTGCAGTGGGTGTTTTCTGTTACAGAGCAGCGCTCGTGGGAGCTTAGCCTGCTGATTGCAAACACATTAAGGGCACTTCCGTACAGAGCCCGACCAAATACTCTACCCTGAGTCAAGCCCCAGTCGTTGAACCCTAACTCTTGCCTTGGCTTTCCCTGCCCTGAAACTATATAACCTCACCCTCAGCCGGAGCATAAAACCATCCCACGTGACGGTATCACGCTGCTTCTTGGCATGTCAATCATGCTGTTTTTACCTTTGCCATTCCTTGTTCTTGACTAACCTACAGCCCGGCGCAATACGCTTGGAATGCGAGCTGCTTTGTCGTCCTGCCGTGCCCAACCATAGCAAACCGCATGCCCCAATTTCCTCTTTCCCAAATCGGCCTCCGGAAGGCCAGGACTCGAGCGTCTTAGGTCCTAGCTCTCGACTTAGGCTACCGTTCCTCACCTATACTTCGACAGCCAGTGCGGTACACCCCCATGGAGCGAATCGAGTTTCCTACATGGGATAGATCTGAAGGGCCTGGAGATAGCCATGCCAGGGCTAATCGGTGCGGTGGCCCCGCCAGAAATGTTTGACCCTGGCAGCAACCTCTCGGGATCTGAGTGCTCTGTGTTGCTGTTGCCTTGAGCAAGGTCAGGACTGCTTTTGTTGGCCTGGTGAGATTTTTTTGAGATGCGCCCTGATGTGGAAGGGCTTCAAGAGGCCGCCGGTAGAGAACGAAGCCTACATGCAGTGCGCCACGTGACAGGTGTTCTTCCTGTCTGTAAAAGCTTGAGGCTGCAATGCTTCAAATAATTTAGGTTCCCTAGCCCCGTTATGGGGGATGCGACGGGGGAGTTAGCCCGAGCAGATTCAGTTGTGCCAATTCACAACTTGCTGCTTTGTGAATGCCTGTAGCTTTGTCAGGTATGTTGATGCGAAGTGTGGTCTCTACGAGACTGCGAAGGAGGCAAGTTGGCCAAGAAAATGGTACAGGGGGCGACTGGCAACCTGGCAGGTGTCATCCAAGCAGGCTTTCTCACTGGACAAAGACATCATTTGTGACCGATCGTCGCTAGTGCCAAAGACTCAATGACAAGCATGCTCGGCCTGTTGTCACAAACAAGGATCTGCCATTTTGAGAACACCTCTTCGCCCAGGACTCTCCTGGAGTATGTGAGTGACAACTTGACAAGCTTCTTGATGCCCAAGGGTCAGGCGACTGAGATTCTAGCATAGACCATGCATATGCACAATAAGCCAGTGGTGTTTGGGTACATCTCCTTTGTTGACTGCCAGAAGGTAAACATGTTGTAAGAGTAGCTAAGCAGGGGAGCTTTGACGACGTTTGGGTCCATTCCCAACTTGTAACAGGCAAAATCTGGCATCTAGGTGGACCGCCTGTTCAGTTCTGATGGAAGCGTGGTTCCAACATCCAGTGGAGCAGCATGGCCCAGCAAATTACGGGCTTTCCAATGATTCATCCAGCGAGAAAGTACAAAGTTCATGTGCCACTGTGCAGAAGGGCAGTGTCACTTGGTGGATGCACCATGACGGTTGGTATTACATATGCATTAGAAGTAGCGGGAAGGCGGCTTGATTCTTTGTCTTTGATGTAGCCCGACCCCTACTTTACTGCCGGCATGTCACATGTCAGCACAAGAACCCGGTGGATCTTGTGAAGATCTCCAAAGCTTCAGATGGGAAGGTCCGGCGCAACGGCCTTTACATCAGGTCTCAGATTCCGCTGTTTTCTGCTTGCCAGGGCTTGGTAATGGAGCATCTACTTGATGTCAACCGGATGAAGTTTCTTGCCCAGTTGCAGATGTGACCCTTTCTGTCTGATATGAAGGGGGCATGGTGATGGCCTGAGGTGCTTTCCATACAGAGGCGCCTGGAAACGCTCTGAGGCAGCATTGTCAAAGAAGGTGCAGAGGCAGAGCCTTCTCCTTGCCCTTTTGAAAGGTTTCCAATCACGGAACTTATACGCCTGCATTCCGGCGATTGGCCTACGGAGACTGCAAGACCAAGTTGGGCTCTCAGCAATTAGAGGCTGCATCCAGCATTGCCGGCACTATTTGCAATGCCTCCGTTTTGAGACTAGATGCACACCCAAGGACCTTGATGATCACGGGGCTTCCTCAAATTGCTGGCAGCAGTGCAGGTCTGCTGTTAAGTGGACCCTCCATAATTGTTCCAAGAGAGACTAGCTCGCAGGTGAGATTGACTCTTTCTATCGATTTGTCGAGTTTGACATGGGTGGCATCAGCTTCCTAGTCAAGGCCAGGTGCAGTTCTCAAGAATGGGAAACTTTGGTTCTGCAGCTTTTGGCTGCCGTGCGCAGACCCCAGCTCATGCACAAAAAGATGGTGAAAATGTGGAGCTTGCCCATAAGTGCCTTGCCTCAATTGGTCTGTTCGGCATCTGACTTCACTTAAGTGGAAAAATACTCTCTCCCCCAATAAGAAAATGATTTCCAATCCGTTGGCTTTCGGGATCGTTCTCCATAATGCGTTGTGATGATACTTGCAAGAGCTAGAGCGGTGCAATTGTATTCATAAGAGCCCAAAGCACTGGTAATCAAGTGTAATTACCCCTTACCCCATTGTTGTAATTCAACCGATTGTGTAGGAATTTGTAGAAGCGGTGATCAGCTGAACTTCTGGGCCCTTCACCCCAAACAACATGCTAATTCAGGCAGGTTGGAATTCTTTTAGCGTCAGCGGCAATGTATCTGCTGATTCATCGGTTTTCGTAGCCTTCACGAGTTGATCATCAGTCGCAGGTTAGGAAACTACAGTAAGAGGCATATGTTGCCCAGTAAAAGAGCTTGAGCCTGAAGGATCATGAATTATTTTGAAGACACCCACTTGAGATTTTTTGAGACTTTCTCTCCAATTTCCGTAGCACACCAGCCAAGGAACTGGTACTACCAGAACGAGGCAATTCCCTTTCTTTTTCTCTGCGCAGGTTCTCTGCGCAAGTCCCGTGATTAAGTTGAAGATGTTGTGAACTCGGCCTACGCCTTTGTTTCTTGTGACGTAGACGCTGGCCTACTGAGATCTGCCTGATCAAGTAAGGGGACAAGTCAGTGATAACAACATACTTCCCACTGTAAGGGGCCTTGAGCTGCACCCTTTTCGTGCAACCCAATTGCCAAAATTTCGAAGCCAGCGTCCTTGTTGCAATAAAGCGAGGCCCGAGCCATGCTCAAAGTGATCCTGGCTTTTCCATGGCTTCTCCTTCAATCCAAAAATCGCATCCAGGAAGGAGATTGGACAACCCAGTTAAAAGACAGGAAGCGAAAGACCTATTCACAAGTGTCCCACTACACCTGCAGCTGTCGAGACTTTGAGCTCATGGCTTCAAGGTACAGCGCTCATCTAAGCTAGTTTTCTGCACATCATTCGCGGGTGCTCCAACCGCTTACATCCCAATCCCAGTCCGACGAAGGAAAAGGTTGACAGGGGACACTTAGAAGCACTTGCCGCGAAGATGTTTACCTTGATGCTTCTACAGATCCAGGATACATGTCCATATCAGGAAATACAGGTCAGAATATGGCCTTGGCATGTTCTAGCTCCTACCTGTTTTGTTGACATCTTTAGTCTTGGCATGATTAATATGTACTGCCTCAGTTGGTTTCTGAGAGATGCAGGAACCATGATCAAACATCAGATAACCACGTGTCGGGAAGATGCTTGGCACGTGTCAGGAAGATGAGCGGCGCGGGTCAGAAATCATCAGGGAGCATGTTCCAATTCTTGCGCCGCAGCTCACAAAACATGCCACAGTCGCAGCTGCATCATGGGGCCATCAGCATTCCATCACGAGGTGATCGTCACAGCACCCATATACAGCAGACCCCCATAAGTACACCCTGCTTACATCCTGCATACCTTACACCTGACCCCACCCTACACCTTTCCGCTACCCCTCTATCCCCTGCCTATCCTTCCGCCCTTCTGCCCCACCCGACCCTGCCAAAATGTTTGGTGAGTCGGGTGGGGTGAGGCAGAGCAAGGTGGGCTTGGGTGGGCAGAGTACTTAGTATAAGAGTCATTGACAAGGATAGAGGCGTGTGGGTCTTTGAGACCGTGGTCTGCTGTATGTAAGTCCGGAGACGACCACCACATTGCTCCCATGCTGCTCTACACTGTGTGTTCCTTCACGCTCCAGAAACATGTGGAGCTTTGGCATGATCGCGCTTCCAAACATGTGTACACAGCGCAACTCACCCAGCGCTGCCAAACTTTGAGACAACATTTCGTTGGTGCTAAAAGAGACAGTGTCAAATGCCGTGGCCGTCTTTGTTGGATCTGTGGAAGATACTGTAGGATTTTTGCAGAGCGCTAGGCTATTCACCATACGACGGGACGCTGTGTCCACGGAGTATGCCTAGAAAAGCATGAGTTCATTTTGTTTTGGCGCAGGTCTCCCTCTGAATGGGAGCAAAGGAGTGAGAACTTGAACTTGAAAGCATACAACGGACAATTGGATGCCCTCGTGTCCCCGTGCCAACTCCGTTGGCCTGCAAAACTGCTTCGTGCGCGCTCTAGGCTGGTGGTTTGAGGGGGCTTCCTCAAGGCTACGAACTGGCACAGCTGCATGGCTGTCTATCAAGCGCCGGGAAGATGGACCAGCGAGCAAAGCCACGGAACGATGACCCTCACAACCGCAAACGCCGCACGTAATGCTCCAGTTGCCAAAAGTGGCATCCGAGCTGGCGCTAATGGTTGTGCAGAGAGGGACGCAGGATGGCAAGAAGTCTTGTTCAAGAGCCGGGTGACCGCAGTGTAAAATGCCCATCTGATAGAGCCCCGTTCGCGAGACCAATGCTTCTCTGGTTTCGAGCCGAGCCAATGTGCGTGTTCTTTTGACAGTTCCAAACTTCACATTTTCCAAGATGTTGCTGACAAGGCATGAAGCACGACCAGAGAGCTAGCATGCATGGAAACGCATGACATGCAGGTCAAAGCTATGACAACATATGCAAAAATGTTGCTTGGGAAAGTGGTCTGGACCTAAGTTCTGGATTCACTGCTCGTGTTTCTTGAATTCGATGCTGAAAGGATCGCTTTGTTTTAGCCCTGCAGCGAAGCGGGAAGATCCATCAGGCAAGCGATTTGCAATCTGTCCCAGACACTGGCTGGTGGCAACCTGCATGCTGATCAGCCGCAGCGGCTTACAGAGTGTAGGCCAAGAGAAAGGTCTTAACACCAGACTTGACATGTCAAAGTTCTCATGTGACGGAGTGATGGGTTTTGGCATCAGTTGCTAGCGCTGGAAGTGCGTCATCTTAGTTTTTTCGTTGCAATGCTGCTTTCAGCTGGGGGCTCAACCGATACGTGTGCTTAGCGTGGCGAGCAAGTGCGTGTGTGTTTATGCTGCCCTTGGTCTCCAAGGCTGCTAGGCTTGGACGAATCCCAAGGGAGATTGTTTTTGCAGTGGCAAAAGGCGCCCCTTGGGCCGAATGCCTTTTGCCCAACTCCCTCCCCAAGAACTTTGTCCAGGAATGTATGGTCGCTCCAAACGATGCTTCAAGCTTGCCACTGTGCGAGTCATGAAGGAACTCAATCATTTGTTCGCCAGCTCAGTTTGTGCTGTGAGTTGTGCTAGCTCTAGATGGTGCGCATCTTAATTGCTCCTCTGAGGTATTGGATGAGAATCAAGAAGAGAAAGCAGATGCGGATTCTTTGGATCACACGCATTAATGCAGCGACTGCCTTAGCTTGAGAATTCGCAGCCGATTGGTGGGAAACTAGAACTTGTAGCATGACCTTTGCTGCAACCTGGAGCACATTCAATATGTTCCGGGACTTGCATCCAACTGAAGCCTGACACCTTTGTGGTGTCGTTGAAGTTTTTTTGTTCTGGAGCTGCCACGGTAATATGTTCAGCAACGAAGAGTAGATGCGCTCTTGTCTGTGCTTTGCCCAGGCTTCGCGAGAGCACGGACTTGTTTATTCTCGCTTGATCAACGGCTTGACACGAGCCAACGTAATCCTGCCTGGCTTGACAAGCTTTCTCCTGTTTAGAAGACGCCTTGTTTCCCTGCACATTTTTGTAAGATTGCTTACTATGCCGTCCGCTGGCAGATGTATGTGGACCGGAAGAGCCTCTGCTTGTTGGCGGAGACTGAGCCAGTGAGCTTCAAGTGCATAGTGGATGAAGCCAAGAGGCTAGCCTCTCCAAGCCTATAGTACTCGTTGTGTTCGCAGAATTGTCTTGACACTTCTGGCTGCAGGATGGTCAAACCACAAACTATGGAATGGGCGGCCAGCTTACCTCAAGATACGTCTATGTGGACGCAAGGGTGGAACTGGAGAAATACTGGCAGACACCCTGTGAGCTGAGGCCCGAAACCTCTCCAGGTTCTGAGCAGCTGTTGAGGGTCCGTGTTGTGGAGGTGCTGAAGGAAATCGTGCAGCGCTGCGCGATGTGAAAATTGACGTTGTGATGGCTTTGTGGCAGCCAATGCTGATTTTGCACAGCTTGAAGTGTTGACTGAAGGCAATGCGCCATTGCTAAGGGTCCTCCTTCCCTTTTCAAGTATACAACCTCGCATGAGTATTTGTCACCATCGTTTTTGCTGCAGCTCTCCCAGATCTCTTTGGGCGCTTTGTGGCCTCATTTGCCTTGCATGTCTGTCCAAGGTCCAAACCAGCCAGCCCTTGCATGCTAGCTGATGTGGCAGGTCGTGGAAAACACGCCTGCAAGCATCCTGGAGATGAAGTCCTGGCCTAACCAATTTGCTTGGGTACATGGGTACATGGGAGCTGTGCGTCCCTCAGGCCCGAGGTTGAGGAGGGCTTGCCTCCCAGTTGATAGAATAGCGGGGCCTCAGGTACTTTTGTTTGGTCATTTCTCATGGGACGGAAGTGGGGGGTGGGGGCAAGCGTCTTCCAATCGCATCCTGTCACATCACATCATACGACATCATATCGTACCATATCATGTCATATCCTACTATCAAAAACATTTGAGCATGAGTGGCAAAAAAGAGTTTGTGAGAGCATGAGCCAGCTGATTCAGACACGCAAAGCCGCGGGTGTTTATGAAGAATCATGGGTAATTATCTTGTGCCATCTCTTCAAGCAGTTGCTGAAGACACTTCTGCACTTTGCAGGTACAGTATCACAGCTGTGAGACATCAGACATGTCAAGGGGGTTCTATACTAGCAAGAGTGGACGTGTGACGCTGAATGGATCTGATGCTGGCAATGTCCTGACACACATTGTCAACGCCTTTGGCATCTGCGGATGGGTTTCTGTCCTGGGCTGTTCTGTTGATCCCGTCTTTTGTGAAGCTTGTTTTTTCTTGGATGCATTCGCTGCATGCTTTGTTTGCTGTTTGCACACCCTTGGTCTGTCCTACCAGCCAAAAGACCTTGAGCTCCTGAGCTGGGTTGCAATCCCTTGCCATAGGCCTGAGGTGAAGCTGCTCCCTAAGAACGTTCGTGCCATTGCTGAAAAACATGATTTGACAACACTTGCAGAGCAAATGTATCATTTTTGGCATGACGAATACAAATGAGAGCCTGCCTGTCCCTATGTTCAGGTGTCCCTTTGCATGTGGCAGAAGCAACACTCCGTTCAAGCTGGCACGATACCTGGAAATCCAAGTGAACGTTGGCACGGAGTTTTTGATAGAACCGTAAATTGGCGACTTGCGACGCAGATCAACACAGGCGAGCGCCAAGTCTTTGCCACTGATCCAGCACCGGATAAAGCAGCTGCATCGGGCGAGTTGCAGACGACATCAGCAGCAACAACCGTGATCCAGCTGTTGAGACGAGCATTCGGATCAGAGTGGAAGTCGCAGCAACGAGTGCGTTATAGGCAGCTACAACCAGACCAGTGCTAAGCAGAGGCATACCAAGCGTAGGCTTTACTACACATTTTCAGGGATTGACTGTATTTGCAATCTGCAGCTCTGAGCCCGTACCAGGGCGAAGGCAAAGCCTGATGTCATGTTGGAGTCTGGACCAACTTTACCATTCAAAATGCACCAAGGAATGTTTTGCCAACTCTACTTTGCCTCTCCTCTCCCTCAGCGGCTCCCTTCCTTGTCCCCTTTCTCTTTTTCGTTTGGGCAAGGACGGCTCTAATCCCACCGTCAAATGCCACGCCTGTGTTTCCTCAAGCAGCTTGCAAGCTGAAGCACACGATGAACCGTTGGCTCATGAGTTATGATGCGGGCTATTGGTACAGAAAATGTTCTCAAGCACTGGATGGCGACGCATGCCCGTTTGCGCGGGAAGCGCAAAGTTTGGAAACGACACCATGTGGTCATTATGATTGATCCAGACCGATAGAGCGTGATTCAATTGTGATGTGCAAGGTGGCAACGTAGAACAAATCCGAACTTTGCGGATATGTATGTATTACATACCTGAGGATTCATTATGATTTAGAGGCAGTGTGATACATCGTCATCAAAAGGTGTTGCAGTACCCCTTTTGTTCACGTTCTGTCCTGCCATCCTGCCAACATTTTCGTTCATCTTGCAAGCTTGCAAGAGCCGTGTGATTCTAGCAGTCCTGTTTCAACAGCAATTCTGCCTTCTGCGCGGTTTCTCCAGCTGATAAATGGGAACAAGATATGTAACCGAATCCTGTGCTGCTGCTCAGCTGCAAATCGTCGTCTCGGACGTGTGGCCTCCTTGATCAAGCAGGCAGGATTCATGCTGCAACGTGTTTGCGCTGGCGGAAAACCTTTGAATTTGAGCCAACAATCAATTGGTTCCTCACAAGGTTCAGGAGGCCGTCGCGAAAGGCGACAGTGGCCCATGGGTCTTATGCTGAAATACATCTTCGTAGCCATGTGAGATTATGGTCAGCCAGTTTTGAGGTCTTGCAGTGGCAGCAGGGACCATTGGTGCTGGGCAAGTACGAGCTGGTCAGGGTCTCGAGACATGTAGCTTACGAATTTTCTGCCATGACAATTTGTGGCAGTTTTTCTAGCTGCCACGCAGCATCCAAGGATGAGGCACAGGTTCCTGAGGCTTTGGAGGACCCTAGCCTGGTCTGATAAGATGCTTCTGCCATGCATGTCTTTTGTCAGGAAATGTTGGCGCTCCAGGAGTATCGCGCCTGAGAAAGCTGCACGCTAGACTTCGGCTCAGAGTTGGGAAGATCGGCCTGAGGTCGAGTAAGTCTAATGCTCAAACTGTCCAGCGTGTTCGTCGTTTGCGTCATGCCGAAGTCCAGAAGTCCACGAGATGCTCCTTGCCACGCTCGCCTTGGCAAGCTTGAAAAGTTCTTCGGCATGTGCCTGCGACATACAGCAGACATGTATACACTTCGGCATGCAAGTTTTGCAACGCAGCTGTATTCATTCATATCTCAAAATGGTGAACTCCCTATAGTGAACCTATCCTGTGGCCGCACGGCCACTGGTACACGCTCTTGGCCACTTGGCCTCACCTGGGCCTTAATTATTAGCATATGATCATGATATGCTCATAGGTCCAACTTCAGTTTGGGTATCAGGCACGAATCATGAACCTGGGTTTGAGTTTCAGGGTAGTGGTGTACGTAGTAGGTCTTTCTTCTATGCGCCAGTTCTTGTTTGCCTGGCAAATGGATGTGCCAAGGCCGTGGTCAATGCGCAATTGCTTCTTGCTGCTGTGGTCTGCTCAGAGCTGGCCACCTTGTATGGCCAACTATCCTGTCCTTCCTCAAGTTTTTGCAACATGGCAGTGCCCATGGACACAAAGTCATGCCAAGTCTTGACTGCTGAGAGACATAAATCTCAAGCTTGTCACATACTTGGCAGACTGACATGATCAACTTCGGTAGCCAGTCACGGGGGCTGGTCTGTCATGACGTTTCGCAGTGATCCTGCTTCTCTCCTCAAGAAGACCGGAGAAGTTTCCCGGAAGCACGCTCGTATGACTGAATGTTTTCTCCAGCTGCTGCAACGCCAATTCCGTCCCATCTACAGAAAAGATCTTGGGTGTTGACCAATGTTATTTGACACACAAACAGCAAAAGTCGCAACAAGATGAACGCGCAAATGATCTCAATGCAGCAAATTGGAAGTGGGTCTGCTTCTGGTTTTGATCGCAATTTGTGAGGTTCGTCCTTTGGCCAGCAGCTCTTTCTCAGAGGCCGTGGATTTCGTTGCTGCTGATGCATGTGAACGTGCTTTCGCGAGAAAGTCTTCCGTTCGGAAAAGTTTTTTGTGTGTTGAAAGCATGTTGGAGTTAGTGGAGTTCAATGCATGCCAGATCAATACATGTGCTGTACCTGGTACCAGTATCAAGCTGTCATGGGCCCAGCATGGCTTGCACAAGGACTTTCTTGGCCCATCTGAAGCCAGAGATCATTTGTGAGTAACTTTCTTGTATTTGCAGGCCATACCACGCCAGGCAGCATGGAGACTTGCGAGCTGACCCGAAGGCACGAGACTCAATGGCCCCACCGAAACGTCTCCACTTTTCAAATCGCAGGGTGTAGAATATCACAATATCAATCAATTTCAGAATCAGACGGGCAAATCTCCAATTCTGCGAGCCAATGCAAGCCAAGTGTGGAGGGACGCTCGGAAGAAGCAGAGGCTTTGCTGACAGCGTGCAAGCCTCAGGACGTGAAGTCAGAGCCAGAGAGCGCTCTGGCCAACTCACTTTGCCATGGCGTGTATGTAAGGAGGAGGGCCTTGTCATGCTCTGTCAACGTGTGGGCTGGAGCTTTACGACTGGGTAACGTAATCTAAAAGACAAGCAGTTCTGTACATATCTCTATTATACATATACACATACGATGTATAGATAGCTTAGACAGTCAGATCAGGTAGAAAACGGGGCCTTTGTGCTGGCTTAAATAGTTAAATGCTCCTAGACCGCCATTGCTCACTCTGGTGCGTGCAGCTGAATTTTGGAACGGGATGTGTGATGAAATGCGATGGGCTTTCCGAGACTGAATTCGTTGAGCTGGCTATGAGTAGAAAGCAGCAGGAACAGGTTTTGCTAGGTAAATTTGGCATTTGCCAATGCTTTTGTGCTGTCGTGTTGAAAGGTTGTCTCGAGACCAGCAGCACAAAGCGCAACGGTCGACATCTCCGCATCGCATTTTGGAGAGGCCACGTTCTGCTTTGATTCTGTTTTGGATCCGTCATGTCAAGTTTATTCGGGTAGCGGGAACCTTGCGGTTCAGGTGGAGGTCTTGGAGTCCTATGCAGTCAGAGGCAGACCCAGCGGACTGATTTCTTGTGGATTCGTTATTTGTCCGCCGTTGCAAGGTATTGACCAGACTCTGCGCTGCCCGGAAGTTTGGACCGCATTGGGTCTCCGATGCCTCAGCATCTGCTTGGCTGCCTAGTCTTGTGCAAATCCGTTGATTGCTTTTCGTGTAGAGCTATGACTGTGAGGTGCAAGCAGTGCATCATCACTTTAGCCATTTTAGCCACGAAGGCAGCCTCCCGGCTTTCCGTGTTTTTTTGTTCCTGGGATTTGGGATACCGTTTTAGGGATTGCGAATGTAAAGCATAGGGTGCGATGGAGTGGAATGAGCCCAAAGTGTCTTCGTTCAAGTTCCATTCCATTCCATTGCTGGAGCGACGGAGAGCTAGGGGACGCCTGAGACTCACTTGGAAGATACGTTCTGCTCCTGAGAGGGCCGGATGGGTGCTCCGTCAGAGGCAATGAACAGATCTTCAGCTTGGCATGAACTTAGCATCTAAGGGCTGACACCTCGAAGTTGATTTTGACTGGGCCTGTTGTTATCATCACGTACGTGCATCGGAAAATCACATTCCGAACCCTGAAGCCTGTCGACCTTGCACTCTTTTCCTCGCAAGCCCTCTTTTTTCTGAGCTCCTACAAACAAATGCCATAAGTTTCTTTGGTGAGAAATTTACAAACAAGGTGCCAGTCCAAAGGTCAGATGGCTTCCAGGAGGGACATGATTGCTTCCAGTCTCCTCCCCGTCATGTCGGTTGAACCCAGCCTTCCCATGGCCACCATCCAGGTGGCTTTGGTTAAACAGCGAAAGTGAAAGCCACGTTATTATTGATCCCCTCATAGACAAACACAGTTCGGGACACAGTGGTCTTGCGCACCTTGCGCCTGTACAACCGGGATCCGTGGCCTTGTCATTCCCCATACACTTTGTTTGTTACCTGGCGTTTGCGGTGCAGTGCAGTGGGGACGCTGGCCCACTGAGCACGTTCCCTACATGGAATGTGAAGAAAAGCAGGTAGCCTATTTCCGAACATTTACGTTGAGGACTTGATTGCCAAATGCACAAGTTGGCCTGACGAGTTCAAAAGGGGTTTACATTGCTAGGACATTTGCATGCAGCTACAAGTTTCAGCTTGGAGTCAATTCAGAAGCCCAACACAGACACCAAACGGATACTGTCACCTCGTGAAGTCTTGAAATGTTTTGGGGAAGGAGCAGACACGGAACGTCATGAAAACATAAATTCTGTAGCATTCAAAACCTTATTTGCTGAGCAGGCTTGGTTTTCTTTTTCTGGGGCCTCGCATCCGCCGAGTGGCCGCAACCTCGCAGAGAAATCTTCCTCGCAGTCTTCCGCAGAATGCTTTCAATATGTTCTTGAATGGAGTTCGTTGCAGCTGTCAGTGCCCGTGCTGTTGTTGAGGTGCTTTGTCGCCGTTGTCCTGGCCATGCTTCTTGTCATGGCCGATGCCTGAGAGCTTAAAGGTCAAGTCTCAAGTTGTAAGTCGCAACCGTGCTTTTCGCATGCCGCGCCCCGCAGCAAGTTGCCTGGGTCAGAAAAGGTGAGGCTTTGACAGCAGGGAAGCCGAGTAAGTGCTGCAAACGAATGGGCACAGTCTTAGTGTCTCAGTGATTGTTACATCATCACACATGAATGGTACAAAGTTGCAACGCGGTCGCCAAATGTCGGCCAGTCCAAGCAACAGCAATGGCTCCACTATTCCGAAGATTGTTTGGATGCTCTGGTTCCAGGGATGGGAGCGAGCACCTCATGTCTGCAAAATGTGCCGGATGCTCGGCAGAGCTTTGTGTTTCAGCTTAGGAAACATAATGGCAAAGAAGTGAATTTTACAGATAGGTGAGGCCCAAACCTTCAGAACGTGGACACGTCAGGATCAACTTTGAAGGCTTGAGAGACAAGCTTCAGGGCCGTCGACCCTTAGCTCAGGTCAGCCGCGGCCCTAAGCGTGTAGAGGTTTACATAGCAAGAGACATGCATCTTAGAAGGAAACACCTGCTTTGGCCCTCAGAGTTCAATTTGGAATTGTGCGATTCCCGCGCAACATGATGGCGAGTAGACTGACTCTGCGGTCAAGAACCGACGTTTGCAGGTTTTGTGTTGGATTGTTTCCAGCTGCGATTTGCAGATGAGCTTCATGCCAAGGCATAGCTGCCAAAAACAGCATGTTGCAAACGCAGAGCAGCTGCTTGCAGTGGCCCCAGGGCATGCTGCCTGGAATTCTCATTCGTGCCACCGAGCAGCTGCGTCAACACATTTGCGCGGAACTACCAACACACTCCTGCTACCTGAATTTTTTCCGAGATTCTTCCTGAAAGCAGGCGGTTTTCTGAACCTCAAAAAAGCAGGCTCACGAAATTCGTGGGCCCTGTACGCATGGACGTGGTAAGAAGGTGACTAGCAGTGATGTTTTGTGAGGTCAGAGCGGTGTTGCAGTCGCAATGCTGTGTTTCTTTCGTCTTCCATCTGTCTGTGCCCCTGCTTGGTTTGTTCACCTGCCCATCTGGCTATTTGTGCAATGCCGTGTGCTGATGTTTTGCGATTCGCATCCTTCAGCATCCTTTCAATGGACAGCGATGTGATACGAAACTCAAAGCGACATAGCTGCTTTGGAGCAGTCCCATAGAACACGATGGTTTGGTTGACATCCCGAATAGTTTCTTTCTCGATTCATGCAGGGTAGGGCAGTGTGATGCATGTCAGGAAGTCCTTTGAATTCTGGAACCCTGGATGGGAAGTGCGAGCCCTTGACGAGCAGTCCCTCCCCGATGTGCTCGGAGACTACTGCAAACAATTTACACATATTTGCAAGGCAGTGTGGAGCACCAGCGATTCCATGCTTGATGTTCAAAAGTTGAACAGGTCTTTGCAAGCTGTGCTACCGCAAGTTTGGCCACTGGCCGTTAAAGTAGTGTCAGATCAAACGTTTCAACATGTTTGAATGCCCTGCGAGGCAAACAATCCCCTAGCCTCCATTGGCATGTCCTGGATTCCGCCAGCGGCTGCTGCAGATGTGCTTCGGCTGTTCTTACTCATTCGATATGGAGGCGCACCTGGGCAGTTTATTCGCAATGTGACATCAGATTATGGCCCAGCTTGCGCAGATCGCAGATCTTGTTTCTGTGTCAGGAATTAAACCTCTAGCATCCTCTAGCCACTGATGATGCTCTAGAAACGTCAAGATCGTCAAGCCAAAGAGGGTCCCATGTAGTAAGGTTAAGTTGTTTAAATTAGCATCACCTATCACATGCCGAGTCATGCTCCTGACGGTGGGGGCCATTCTTTTCCTGTGGAAGCACAGGGGTCTGGGCTGATGCCACGGTGCTTTGTCGACGACCCTTGGATGACTGGATCCATGCTGCGTCGGCTCCAGCTGATGGCTTCTTTGCTTTCGGGCCCGAGAAAGGTGCGATGGGGTTCGCTGTCACGAAGGAGTGTGCATGGCGCAGTAGTTGGCTCGTATTGGATCGTGGTTGGATGTATGGTGCATCATCCTACAGTCATAGTCAATGCATGTTTGAAAGCAAACTCGGACGCCCGAAGTGGGGTGTCATTTTGAGATGTAGAAGCGGGTTTATGAAGTCATGCATCGAGGTGATGAGATCCCCATCATGCCTCTCGTCTCAGATTGTCCCATGCTCATGAAGTGTGGTATTGGCAAAAGGTCGGTCACGCATTTTATTAGGAGTATACGGAGATGAAGCGTTCTTTGGTGTTCAGTTTGCATTCTTTCTTTTATCTGGAGTTTCCAAATGAGACTTCCAAGGAGCAGCTTCCTGGCCAGCCGAGCTGAGCACCCTTTGCTAGAGGCCTGGCAAGAGAGAGTGCACAACCATTGGAAGCTGCCGGCTAAAGATCGGCCCAACCTGGAGTACTTCTGGCAGCCAGGAAGCATCAGCAAAGATCTTGTCTTGGTGTATCTTTACTGACCCCCAGAAGCCTGGCGTGGGTGGCAAGCTTAGGTTTCATGTCCTCTTCGGAAAGTTGGTCCAGGCAGCGTTTCATCTCACGACAATGGCATGGCAGAACATTGCTTCCCCAACAAACGGTAGGAACATCCAATGGCAAAAGACTTCTGGCAGCGCACCGCCAAAATGGCGGCTGAGTACAAGCAGCCGGGCCCGCATCACTTCATGCCTTACGAGGAGGCCACTCATAAAGTATGATGAGCCCTGCACCAATCAAAGGCCGATGACCCTGCTGATGTAGGTCTTGGTAAAGCCACCGAGTGAGGAGTTCAAAAAGAGAGTCGACAGAGTGGAGGCGGGACTGAATTGTGCATTGATAGCACCTGACGCGAGCAGCCTGGGAGAACATGCGCCTTCATGACCCTTCATGACATGAGCTACATCAAACATGTCATGCATGTGCAGCTGATTTTTTGCAGGACGAAGAACCTGTCCTCAAGTTGTGGCTGCCTGAGAATGATAGCTGTTGTTCCATGGTAAGAAGATTACGCCAGACACCTTGCCTTGCCATCGAGGACAATTCATGACGTAAAGTATGACAGGGAAGGACGCGATGTCCTGCACCTGCGAGACGGCTCCGACTTCTCTGGACGAGCATCCGAATCCAGCTCCTTGGGTTCGTTTAATTCATGTTGGTACAGTAGGGATGGCAGCAGTCGGCCAGCGTGCAAAGCCAATACCACAGGGCAAGCTCCTGCATTGCTTTTAGAGGCTTTGCGCTGCTTGCAGTTGGATTTCAGATGCTTGATTTGCAGGGTCAACTTGCGTGCTTCGAATTGTCAATCAACTTGTCGTACTGGTCAGTAGGATGGATGCGCGCTCCGCGATAAAGGGGAGCTTCTGAGCTTCAGGAACTTGGCCATTTTGTGGTTGTGGTTATTTGCAGTTTTTCTGTTGGCGTTTACATAATGATTACCAACGGATGCATCCGCAGCTGACGATCCGTGGCAATCCAACTAAGAGATGGAACCCGGGGGGAGCCCTTCTCAAAGCCCAAGAAAAAGTCTTCCCATTACACGGCTAGATATCACCAAGCAGCCGACCTTCTTGGTACTTCCTTGGGTCAGGTTTTGCTTTGCACAGGACCAGGCAACCCTGTGTGCCATGCTACGAAATCGCTTGTCATATCAAGGCCAACCAAAGCTTGTTTTGCTTCTTCTTGATCTTGTGCATTATGCTGAGCTCACTGAAAACAAGAAGGATTTAAGGACTATCTCCCCTCTGCCATGTCAGTCTGTTTCCACATGCAGTTGCCGTTTGAGCCAAAGAGGCTTTGAATATTTGATGCAGCAGACTCTGGAAAAGGCCCGGCTGGTTGGCGGCGCACGTTTGTCAGTCTTCAGAACCCACCTCAATGGTTGAGCAGAGGCAAGAACGCAAAGCCCAGACGCCCCTGAGCGCAGCGTGTGGAAAGCAGAGCCAGGGCCATGGCGCAAGGAGTACGGACACTTGGATGCATCCGGAAAGCTGTCGAAACATGATTGTCGTGGCTCATATCAAACCCTTTCTGGGCAGGCCTTTGCATCGCCATGCAGCCAATGATGCCTGGGTAGAGCAATACCACCGAATGGAGAAAAAAGAAAGCGCTGCCTGCACCCAGTCCAGAAGACGTGGACTAGGAAAGAAATTGCATCACACGCTGCTCCTGTTCTACCCTGTTCTATTTACCTTGCCTGCATCTGCTACGTTGCTTAGGATGCAGTGCTTCTACAGAACCTGCCAGAGTCACGCCGTTCCCACGCCTTCAGCCCAGTGCAGCTGTTGTAGCAACATGCACGGCGACAGAAGTTTACATAAGTTGACAGAAGGCGATGTCTCTGAGGTCAGTGTGCTCCTCATTTGGCTGGCAGTTGCCCTGGCCTGCTGCGTAGAGGCAAACCGAAGCCTCTACATGCCTCAAAGGTCAGATTTGTAAGCAGTCGTTTCAGAAATGACAGTCTCTGGCTTAAGGGCCTCCAAAATCTGCCGAATTCCGAGAATGCAGCTGATGCTTCATGCAAAATCAGAATGGCATCAGTTCCCTGTCACCTTTTGGCGCGCCTGCCTGCGTGCCATGCTGGGCTGAGCAGGTCTGGGTGTGTGCCGGCTCTTCAGCAGGAGTGTCCTGGTTATCTGGGTGACCAGACTGCATCCCAGTCAAGGTTTGGTCCATGGCTGTTCTCATATGGGTGCTTTCACTGATGCTTTGTTCCATGAAGGTATCTCCTGGAGTTGTTGTATTCAGCGGATCATGTCAGAACCTCAGGGCCCCAAAGATACAACTCAGCGCATACCTTCTCAGTGCTCGTCCTGTTCAGCTGTGTTTCAGGTGTTTGTAATGCAGCTTGTGTTCAGATGCCTGGATGCAATGGGATTTGGAGAGCGTGTTGCGGTGCTCTCAAAGCGTGCTCAGGTAGCCTGGACACACCCCACAGGCTAATGGGCAAGGTGAGACCACAGATTTGCTAGATAAAAGGGAAGAACGAAGAGATGCTCACAAACTCACAGGCACTTTACATGGCGATGCTGAGCAGCATCGGCTTCCGCTTCATCGGCTTCCTTGGCTTGGTGGGCCTGCCTGTAGATCGGAGAGTCATGCAGAGTTGGAAGTTGCGCCCAGGCCCGTGGGATAAGTCCGCTGGCTTCTCGAACCTTCTCCTGCTTGCTGGGATCTGGACTGGTCTACGCAGGAGCTTTTCAGACAAGGAAAGTCCCAGCATAAACCGACACAGAGCAGCTGGTGAAACAGACACGGCATGACGCATTGTGGCTGCATGGCCCAACTGTTGGTTGTTCAGCCTCGGCCAGCTTTAGATCCGAGAACGGCCAACTTCAAACACATGTGCGCCTGGATAGCCGCTAGCGGAAACCGGCAAAAGAGTTGCGGTCATGGACGGAGAGTCACATCCTGACGATCCGGTAGTTGCAGTTCTTGTTCCCAGTGCTGACGAATCAGCTTCAGTGATGTCATGGGCAGGGTCTTGGCGATACCATGATATCCTTTTGTCTGGTTTAGACCCATCTTGGTGCTCTACAAAGGTTGGGGTGGGCAGGGAGAGCAAACCCTGACACCTTTTCCAAGTGTGAAGATTTTGTGCGCTGAGGCATGAAACTTGTTCTTCCTGTACCCGTTGCAGATCCCAGCACAACCGAAGTTTTGTTTTTGTTCATTTCTCCCTGCACCTGAGGAAAACTCATGCGCCTAGAGTCTGCGAATCAACAAGTTAGATCATCTGGGCAAAGAACGGATTCTGATGCTCGATCGATTGCCTGCAACGATTTCTTTGCTTCAAGAGTTGCCGGTTGCTGCGCACGGTTGCCATCTGTTGCCTACCAACATGTGAAGAGTGATGTCATGTGACTGCTGACATGCTCCGTACCAGTGACATTCATGGACATCTCTTCAGTGAAGGGCCGGATTAATGAGCGCATGTTAGTCTTGTATTCCTGAAAATCAGAATACATATCGCGAAGGAGTTTCAAGACTGGGCACTCCGGCGGCAACTGACGGGGTAGCTGATTCACTGGTCCTCCTGGCGAGGGAAAGCCAATGACGTGCTCTTTCGTGAAATCTGTGTGCCAGGTCGTGCAAGTGCTGCGACGATTCTTTGGAGAGCGCTTGGGGGAATTCTACGACGAGGAGGGTGAGGCAGGGATGTGCTTTGTCCCCAAGTTCCAGCGGGCGAAAGACTTGCCGAGCTTCAGGCCTTGTTGGTGGAGGTGAAGGGCAAGGCGCTGGCGGTTGAAGTTTGCGGAGATGGGTTCTTGATGGTTCGTCGTGCTTGTTTAGCTGCATGTCAACATGCCGTGCTTTCCGTCTGTTGTTTGTCAGTGTGCGTTGTTTTTTATTGGGCATGGGCCGACACGTGTGCTACTGTGGGCATCTCCAGACGAATAGTTGTCTGGGGTAGAGAGGTTGCAGATCAACACTGATCAACCCCTGACTGTTAGCATTCGAGTGTTTTTCGGCTGAAAGCAAAACAGGTTGCAAGGTTGTGACTCGCATCACTTTTTTGCTTTTCATGCCATGGTTCAGGTATGCATGACGCTGCTGGGTGTCGTAGTGCTTGAAGCTCAGGTCAAAATAAGTTTTGAGCCTTCTGTCACCATGCTGATGATCGGATAGAAGCATTTGGCAGTCCAAGGATTTGCCTGGTCATTCTGAATTTTGTCCTGAGCTTTGATGTGACTGCCTGAGTTGCGATTCCTGTTGTTCAAGTTTGGGCACCAAACCGCAACCAGCCAGGTCGTCCTTGCCAAGTCTGAATTGACGCCAGATGCCTTCCTGAACTTCAGGTGCACTTGCCGACGGGAACCTGCATGCTGATTTAGATGCACCAAGGGTGCTGGTTAGTGTGCTCATTGTACAAAGTTTGTATGTCTCTTGGCAGTTCTTCGGCGCTGGCTTTATTTGCAATCCGCTCGCTCTTCTTCGTAGTGAGGCTTGGGTCTCACTAGTCGATATCACATGCGAAGTCGACAGCTCTGCTGCTGGACCAGAGCAGGGATCTCTTCAACCTCTCCAAGCTTACCAGATCCGCCCTTGCCATGGTGCGATGCTCAGCCTGCGATGGATGCACGCTTGCCAGAGTAAATTGCTGCAGGTGCTGCTCTTGATGGGCCTGGAGATGCTCGGTGGCTATGCAGTCTATGTCCGGTGCTCAGGGATTTTCTTGTACCTTGTGGTACTGCTGCGCAAGGCTACAGCCACTGAAGCTTTGAGGGAGATTGACGTGCTCGGGGCGCAGGGCCTCGGCCCGTGTCCAGTCCCCTTCAGCCTTTGACAAGCAGCCATCGCCGCGACGACTACGCAAAGCAGGGCATGACAGAAAACGATCTGTGATTGGCAGCCCTGGTACTGCTGAGCCATCCCACCAACACAGGTGCACCAGGGCCGCCAGCGAAAGAACATGAGGGCTTCGCCTCAGACTCTCCAGGAAGACTTCTCGGAAACAACATCTAGCCCTACTTGGTGAGATTTGAAGCGCAAATGAGTGCAACAGCTGGATTCCAGCCATCCTGCCCAGCTCCTTTACCAGAGATGCGAGCAACACCAACAGCTTGGAGGTGGAACAGTTGGGCATCTGGCTGCTTCAAGGTGCTTCTTTGGTAGGGCAGCCGGACTACGGAGCAAAGTGTGTTGAAGTTGTCAATTTTCGATCCTCTTTGTGCGTATCCCAAGTCGGGACTTGGCTCTGAGAGGCATTGCGGTACCAGACTTTGCCTGGCCAAGGTGAATGCGCTGATGTCCAGCACGGTGTTTATCTGTATGCTGGCAGGCTGCTAAGTTGATTGTTCCAGGTCTGATGTGACCTCGAGCCTTGCTGGGCTATAAGGTCCTGTCAGTGGGCATCTCGTCTCTGCAGCATCCAAGCGCAAAGATGCCTCTGTCAGACCTGCATGCCTTTTGACGGGCTAAAAAGTCATGCGCCGCGAATCTGTAGGACCCTGGACCGCGGAAAAGCTCCAACATCTCATGCATTTTCAGCCTTTTTGTTGTTTTGGCCCAGCTACCCGTGCAGACATACAAGACCTAAGTATGTTTGTTTGTGTTCTCACTAGAAGCCAGAACAGCAAGTACCCACGCGTGCTGATGCCTGGTGAATTGTACAGCCGATCTTTGCAGTTGGAGTGGGGGAGTGATGTGCCCGAATGGCCTTCAAGCTCCTGTGGTTGCTGCCCCAGCATCGTCATTGGACTGTTCTCTCGAAACAGAACATTTTTTCCTGAGGTTGCTGTGTGGCATACAAAGATATGTTTTTGCCCAGGCAGGTTTTTTTGCGACTTGCAAGTGGAGCACTTCAGTTCCTCTTAACTGTCCTGCCATCGGCCAGGTATCAGACTTATGCGACTGCTGCGACGAGTCTACTCTGTCATATCCCTAGGTATGGAAGGCTTCAGGATCGTACTAATTCCTGAAAGTCACAAGCTGCACCACTAAAAGCTGTCAGCCATGTCAAAGTTCTAGTTGAGTGTGTTGGATTAGGCATGCATATGCGGGCGAGCTCAACCGACACTGCCTGCCAGCAACACTGCTTCGCAAGAAGCCAGCTTCTTGATGGCAACTAAGCTGGAGTCTGTCTGACTGCCGCAAGGAATGGAACTGAAAAGATTGAAATGACATGCACCTGACTGCAGGACATCATCGTGGGAGAAGCTCTTGATGGGAGTCCAAGTGTTCCGGAGGAAGCCTTGTGAGGCACTCAGAAGCTTCACATCTAGCAGCTGGTTGCCGATTCATGGCAGCGACACGCAAGGAGCATCCTTTGTGCGACGGACCCAGCTCTGCAGATTTCACATTCACGGCTAACCTGCTGCTGCTGTGAAGGGCTCTGCGTGCCTAAGGCCAGTCCACTTTGCAGAAGCAGCGTCCTGCGTGATCCTGGCTTGTTGAGTGCTCAACTCCGGTCCTGTTGTTACAAGGTTGAGGGCTTGTGGGCAGCATGCCCTCTCCGTCATGTGTCAGAGCCGACAAAGTTACTTCACGATGGGTGGGCACAGCCCAGCCATATGCATCGGATAATCGGGCTCTGTCGACAGATTCATGTGCGGTGCTTTGGGCAGGCTACTGGGCGCGCGTGCGTGGTTGTTCTGAAAGCAGCAGCTGGAAGTGCCGTTCTCAGTTCGGCAATTTCCAGATTTTTGCCTGAGAAGGAGTTGGGCCTTGTCCAAGCAGACCCTCGGGTAAAGCGTGGCAAAGCGTGCAGGCGTTTTGGCTTCGCCTGGGCGGCCGCCAAGGCCGAAAGTTTTGCTGCTGTGGAATTGCATGGGCGCCCGGCTTTTGTCAAAATATGGTAGTAAAACTAAGCCCTCCATTCCCTATCGGCGCTCCCTCAGTGACGGGTGATCCTGGTGACAGGAATGATCTTGATAATGGATCTCTTGTCTTGTCGCCTGTGCCGCAGCACCAACCCAAATCGGTCACCTCGTGGGGATGGCCAAATTACAACTGACTGTTTTTTTTCCATGCTGGGTGTTGGTGCTTGCTACTTGCTGCTGCCGGTGTGCGCTGTTTGAGTTTGGCTGCTATGCAACAGTACGTAACATTTTGTTGCGGTTATCTTGAAGCCTCATGATCCTTCGTTTGTTGATGTGTAGTGCTGTTACGTGTATCACTCTTGCCGCCGCTGCCAACGCAGCGCTACTGTTGCTGATTGCTCTCTGCATCTTGTGCCCTCGTTCATAGTATCCGTTGAGCCACGACAGGTACGCTGCATGCGATTGCCGCAGGCCACGAAGGGGATCATAGAGTTGGCTCGGAAGGGATCTTTTCAATGTTTCAATGTTTTATGCCTCCAGGAGCGGGAACCTCAAGATGGTGCGTATCAGGCTCCGTCGCCTCGGTCTTAATGCAAAGCGTACTTGTCATGAGCGAGGTGCTTATGCAAGCCACTTTTCGAGACGGGCAGGCCCAGAGCTGCGTTCCTAAGATGCTGATGGCCCACTTCTGTGAAAGCGTCAAAGAATCGATAAAAGTCTTGCAGTGGCAGCGTGAACATCCTGCGATGGAGGGTCAGGATGAATTTCGTATTTTTTCAAGGCTCATCTAGTCATGGAGAGGGCGCGAACATGTGCGTTTCAGTCATGCTGAACTTGGCAGGTCACAGATGCAGCCAGCTTAGAGCTGACTTCAACAGCAATCAAAGAGGCAGAGTTGTTGCAGAGAATGCCGTCAAACTTCCTTCTCCGCTGCTCAGATTCTAGTGCCTGTCAAGTCATCACTTTCTGGTTGTCCAATCTCTGCCGTGATCTCTGTTATAGCTTGGGCTCAAATACTGCAAGCAGAAAGGCATTCTGGACTAGAAAGTCTTGCTAAAAGGAGCTTGCCTGAGACTGGCTCAAACTTTTGCATTGTGCAAGAGCTGTTGATAGCAGCATACGCATGAGCCGATGGGCGGGGGCTTCAGGCTGCTTCCTGCTGTGTTTGTGGTATCAGAAGCATCTGTGGAGAATGCTGAGGTCGACCTACAGGCGGAAGAGCAAATCAAGAAACCCAGCTAGAACACGTGGGGCGTCACCAAAGGCAAACACTTTTCTTCAAATAGGCAGAGAAGAGAAACATAGGTGCTATTAGAGCAGCCGTTGCGTTCCGCCCTTCTCATCTCAGGCAAGGCTCCAGAGTGCTCAAGGAGTTGGAGGTGATATTGCAGTGCCCCGTTTGCATGAAACAGGTCAGTGATCGAGATTGTTTGTGACAGTCGCGCGAGTTGCGTTAGGCGATCAGGACATCCGCACGAGAAGCGTTGGATCGACACCAGACAGGCCTGGCAATCCTGGCAGAGCTCCAGCGGAGGGTGAGGCAGTTTCTCTGGGTTTGCAGCAAGTGAGGCAGAGATCTTTATTGCAGCGACCATTACCATCTACGCTTTCTTCATTGGGGCCGAGCTTGAGATGCTTCCCTGCATGGGTGGGTTGAAGCCACACAGAAGCAGTCGCCCAAACCTTAAATACAGACATGTGCCTCGAATGAGGGGAACAGCGAGCGCAACCTATGAGGTAGGCAGTGGAGAAGCACACAAGCAAGGTCAAAAAGAGCCAGTGAGCGCCTGCAAATGAACACAAAACTTGCAGCAGTTGGGCACTAGCCGAAACAACAGCTGAGCCAGTATTTGGGGCAGAGTCTCTCGTTTTGTTGCACGACAACAATGTGCAATGATCTGTGCCTTGCTGAGAGTGTGGATCCTGTCCTTTCCTTCCAAGAAGACGGTCCGCATCGTTGGACCTGGCGGATCTCCCTATATGCATCGAATGCTCGAGTTAAGTAGCCAAAGCATCATGAACATGCAATGCAAACCTTCCATGCAGCATGTTGGCCTTTGCAGGTTCAATCAAGGTTGAGCGTGCAAGTTCCCGCTCTAAAAACAAAAGAGTTGAGCGATGTTGAGCGTGCGCTTCTTTTTCTTGCCAAGGATTGAGACGAACCATCCCGACCTTGGACATGCACTCTCTGTGGCATCTCAGCTTCATCTTAAGCAAGGATGAAGATCGACAACCGATGACAACAGCAACCGGTGCTAGCTGCTGCAAACTGCCGCAGGTATTTCTCATACTCCATGCTGGCGACTGAGTTGTATCAGCTCTGCTGTGACATACAGGCGCTGCCCGGAGACTGGTCCACGCCAGGCTTGCGTTGTCTGCAGGATTCTTCAGCTGAGGTGCTCTTCAACACAATTTTTGTGCTGGAGCTCATCCTGCGAGTGCGGTCAACAGGCATAAGGCGTGGTGCCCTGCTGAATGCAAGAAGCATAGGCCTCGTGGGCACTCAGCCAGTCAAGAATCCGAATATTGCAGCAGCGGCACCGCATTCAAACGAACGACGCTACGTTACATTCGACATGTTCTCGCGCTGCCTATGTTTTCAGGGGCGGCTGGGCATCAGACCAATCGACGCAAACAAGAGAAGTTCAAGCGAGGATGCCGAGACTCCTCAAAATCTTGGGCATTTGCTGTTTGCGTGATGTTGCTGTGAAGGTGCTGCATCACTGGCCAAAGAACAATGGAAAAGACCCGTTCAGGGAACTACGGGTTCTTGCGACCCGGGGCTGTCTCCACTGTTCTTTCATCCTCCCTCCCTGCCTGCACCCTCCCTTCCCCTCAGATTTTCAAAGAACAGTGGTTTTGATATGATATTCTGGGATTGGGAGGGTTTCACCTCCCTTCCCTCCCCACAGATTTTCAATCAACAGTGTTTTTGCTATAGAATTCTGCGATCAGGGGCTGTTTCCACTGTTCATAGAAGCCTTTCACCTACTCTCCCATCCCCTTGCAGATCCAGACTTCCACAGCATGAAGCTGTTCCCAAGCGCAGAATTCTTCAGCAGTGGAAACGCCACCCAATTGCAGAAATCCGCAGAAAAAGCACCGTCCTTAGAAAATCATCAATCAATGGAACACTTGGAAGTACTGGATGTTTTTTTCTTTTTCTCATTATTTTGTTTTAGTTGCGGCATTTGTTCCTTAGCTTTTGTCGCGTCTTGAATGCGCTCTCGTTGATTTCCGTCATGAACTGCTACGTTTCGGGTGCAGTTCTTCTTTTCATGGGCCTTCGTGAGTGTGTTGAGAAGATCAATCTCAATTTGTCCAGAGCTTTCCGCTGGCAGATACTGCTCTCCATTTAATCCTGCCGGATTCTTTGAAGCTCGGCATGATAAGTTTGTTGACGCTTATGCCGCATGCTTGCAGCTGAAACTTTCACTCATCAGGATTCAAGAAGCCCTTGCCATGCTGACAGTGCTTGACAATCAGAAGCTCGATGGTGTGAATTTGCTAGGATGCTCTCATTATTCTCATTGGCACTATCGAGAACATCGTTTCGATAGTGTTCCAAATGATGTCACAGGCAGGGCTGGGATGCTTGAAATTGATGCGCTTGAACGTTTGATCTGCTGTGAACGAAATGCTTGAACTGGAGCATGGCCAATTCACTTGGATTTTATGAAGTGGGGACTGTGGAGGGATGGAGGGAAGCAGAGACTGAAGCGAAGCTGGACCGAAGCGTGCTGGCGGATGCATGGGTAGCTGAGTGATGTGGGCGGACACGGGCAAGGAGGGATTTTGTACTGGACGACGTTTGTAGCATTGATTTCCACTTCAGAGGTCCTGCCAAGCTTCTGAAGCCCGTCCGAAACGTTTCATCGTTTCAAGTATCTCACGGTTGCAGCACATTCGTTAGCTTGCACGAAGGGATCAGGTCTGAGGTCCGGATCATGTGCAGATGCCAACAGCAAATCAAGCCTTTCCCTGATGGCCTGTGGCTGCTGTGCAGTGCTGTGACTCCTCAAAGATGGAATTCGGGAAGCTTTTGGGCCTTGACGCGTCAAGGACTGACGGAAGATGAGAGGGATCAGGCAAGATGTCGGAGGAAAATGAGACAAGGGTAAGAAGCACAGCAGCGCTCGCAGCCAGTGAAAATGCAGGCTTTCCACAGGTGTTTTCGGCAGACAAGCTCATGGCTGACTATGGCTAGGGTGAAGATTGTTTGGCCACAAGATGCCACATGCAAAATGGCAAGATGAGGTGGTGTCTTTTGCTGGCAGTGTATGCATGCTCTTGTGCGCATCCGTGGTAAGACGTCTTTAGAAATTGCAGCCACCGGATGAGAGTTTGGCTGTGGCTGCGAGGATGGCAGTGGCTCGGTAATCGCCATTGCTGGCGTGATGCGGATTCTTCGTCTCCTGCGCCTAGCGAGGTGCTCTCTAATTAGCCAACAAGCTCACTTTTTCGGAGTGCTTCCTTCCTTCCAGATGCCTAGATGTGCATTCGTTCCCAAGTCAAGACAGTCCGTCGCAGAAGCCGTTTCTTGCACTCAGCCCCGTCAGACTCCTGCGTGGATTCCTCGTTTGCCAAGAATTGAGATTGTTGGTTACTGGTCTCCAGCTCAGCTAATGGCTTTGCCTGCGTGCATTGGGGTGAGTTCTCATTCCGCAAGCCCACAAGCCTGTAAAATTCGAGCCTTGGCATGTCTGTGAATGCCGCGCATGTGTTGGTCAGTTCTGGCTGTCATTGAGGTATGATGTTGGCTCTTCCAACAGTGGTCTGGGCTGGTGTTCTATTCGCAATCGTGGTCTACCTGGGAACCATGCTTCTGGAAGCATTTGGATGCACCAGCCTGTTCTGCGCTTTTGTGTGGCCGTTCGCCCAGACTTGTACTTCACCCCTGAGAACATCCTCCAAAAACCTTCCTGTCGTTGGAGGTAAGCCGCTCCATCTACCTACTTACACGGATTTTCACGCCCAGGGGCCTCTGGCTGGGTTTGACACGTGCAGGTCCAATGAATTGTCAAGCAAGCCACACACTTGTACGTCCGACCCCGCAATGACTTGTACTCACCAAGCAGCAGGTCCGGTGGTCAGGAGGAATTTGCCACAGTCTTTCTTTCTAAATGGCTAGGTCTTGCTTTTTCATCTGGGGGGACAAGCCATGGTCACCTTTGCTGGCCTGCACCTTCTTCCTCCCTTCCTTCCCTGCGTGCTCTTCCGAGATGCTTGCACGAAGGCAAACCTGCGCCTTTGGACAGTAGTCGTATTTTCCATGAAGAGAGACCGCAAGATCTTAAGCATGATCATCAGCTGAGTGATTCCAATGATGTAACCCAGCGGGCGCCAAATCAGCAGGGGCCCCAATTAGACTACTGTACTGGTACAGTAAAGGTGATGCGTCTGCTGTGTAGCCGTGTAGCCACCTTTTTTGCTGAGATTCCAACTTTCCATATGTCAAAGCCAGACAGTTTCGTGGGCCTGTACAGCGCAACAAAGTTGGCAGGAAGTTGAAACATGATGAGGAATATTGAGGACCGTTGCTTGAAAGTTCCATCTAACAAGCTAGGCTGAGGCGACGTGAAAGAAATCTTTTAAAAAGTGTCGAGCGCATGAGCATGGGCGGCAGGGTGGTGACCCGCGAGCATGAAACTGAGTGCGCAACTTGCTGCCAACCCGAACCGGTGCGGATGTTGGACATCCCAGACTCTGCCGAAATACACCATAACTCGGCAACATGGCCTCCGCCGTGCCCAAAACAAGCCGCATGACCGCCCCCGCCGAGCATCAGCAGCATAAGAAGGCGTCCGTTTCCCTGCCCCGAGGCGTTCCCAACCGACCCTCCTGAGTGGCCGGTTTCGGAGATCACCAGAACCCCCAAGTAACCTGCCTGACCTTCGGTGGGGTCTGGCCCCGGAAACGCAGCCAAATTTGACCACATGTTGGGGTTCCCTCTCCCCCGAACCCCCTTGGTACCGATCAGCATAGCTAGGTTCAAGAGGAAAGATTGGGAAAGCTTTTGTGATTACTCTGATAGGTACGTACTATTCCCCGTTATGATTTTTTAGGGTTATCGTTTGAGTATCGACTATAGGAATTGCTGCGCGAGTTGAGGCCAGACAAAGGATAGATAATTGGGCTTCCTCCATAATGGCACCTGTCAAATGTCTAGTGCACCCACAACCGAAGATTAGCTGCAAACACCCAACTGTCAACCCCAAAACCTTCAACTCCAACCCCAAACCCTAAGATGCCTGAAATCCCAAACCCAAAATCCCAGCTCTAAACCCCAAATCCTCAACCTAAATCCCTGAGCTCTCAACCCTAGACCTTAAGCCCCACAAAACTGCTGCCCGGCTGCGTTGACCACCACGGTTCGGCCGACTTCGGCTTCCTTAACTTACTGGGTTTAGGGTATTAGCGTACTGGGGTATTAGGGTATAGGGCTTAGGGTATTAGGGTATTAGGGTATAGGGTTTAGGGTAGTAGGGTATAGGGTATTAGGGTATTAGGGTATAGGGTATTAGGGTATAGGGTTTAGGGTGGTAGGGTATAGGGCTTAGGGTTTACCTCCAAAGTATGTGGGGAACGTATAGTGGCTATGCTGGGATATTGGAAAAGAAAATGGAAACTTGTTTTTTTAACCCCACAGTCACAGACCTTTACGTCTGCCGAAGAGGGGCGCGGAATTTTCCCCCAGGCTTGCGGGGCTTAAGGCCTTAGGGTCTATAATTGCCTTTTTGATTTTTTGGGGTGGGCTGGACCATGAAAACCATTATCTACTTCCGAGGCTTATAGTCCTGAGTAGATAGAATATGGGGTATACGGGGATCTTATACTAATATACCCAAAACCATATTCTATCTACTTAAGGGGGACTATAGACTTTGGGGGCTAGGCTGGTGCTTATAGGCACTGCTTGGCATGAATTATCGGGATCCACTCGCCACTCGCGCTCAAACACCAGCAAGTTGTGGCAATGGTTGTCAGAAAAGGCGAAAATGAAGCAGAGAAGTGGCGTTCCGTTGGGCAAGACCAGGCTCGTGCTATGAGCCAACATGCTTCGCATTGTACATTTTGAATCAAACGGTTTGCTGGTAGCTTTAGGCTAGCTGTGGTAGCTTTGCATGTTCAGTTGAGTTCAAGACAGCTGCCAGATTTTATGCAGCTTCGCGAAAGTTAACTTGAGATTTACTCGTCGAAGTGGTCTTGACAAACCAGATTTTGGAGGCTAAATGGTCAATCTGAAATGGGAGCGGAACTACCATGTTAACTGCACACGCCTGGTGTGCGATTCATGTGCCAACACATCTTGCAGCCTGCATATGGTCAAGTATGCATTCGAATTCTTGAGCAACATGCTTGCATCTGAGGTTTACAGTCATCCTTCTCGGCAATATACCTGAGCTTCACGGTTATTTTGGCACAATTGGGCTAGCACTGTGGACGCACTTCGTCATTGTGACAATGGAGACATGGCCTGACATCGCTGACAGCGTCCTGGCCGTGGCCAGTCCACTCTGGGGTGTCTACTTCGTGGTGTCTTGGCCCGGATATCATGTTCTGCCATTTCTTCAACATCAAAGCAGTTGCTAAGCTTTGACACAACATTCCAGACTGCAATCATCGTAGCAATCATTGAGGCCATGTTTGTCCTTATGCTCAAGGGGCTACAATTTCCTATGAAATCGTAGAGAGGTACAGGACAGAATTTCAAAGAAGGAAGGAACCTAAAGGCTGCAAGTATCTATGGTAGATATACCTTGTCTTTAAAGAACCTACATGCCAACCCCTTCAGGTCGGAGCTGATGACATGTCAGGGAGCTATGTCAGCACATATATACCTGTAGCTCCTTTTACAGTCTTTGTTATCATAACATTCCTGTAAGATGTTGCCAAAGACTAAGTGGAATGGATTCCTGACGTTGTTCATGAATGGCTCAGAAGTGAAGGTATACCGGTGTACCCTCCCAAACTAACACGGAAGCCTGCTTCAAAAGCGCGAGTCCTTAGATTTTGTCAGGACCACAAAAGGTTCGCAAATTCACACCCTTCCCCAAACTGACATGGAGCTCTATCCGTTTAATCCAACGCGGGCGCGGCTGCCAGCGCCTCTCTAAAAGAGAACGGGGCAGACCGGCTAAACATGCCTAAAATGACTCTTTGGAAATAATCCTCCTAGAGAGTGCCAGTACGTCGCGTCGCGAAAGGCAGATCTGCGTTCACCGAGACATGTATGCTGTGACTGCAGGTATTCATTTGCATCTCAAGTATGTCCCTCATGAATTTGGTCACTGGTGTCATTGCTGAGAAGTCACTCGGAAATTATGTGGGATTTGCAGTGGCCAAGAAGTTGAAATTGGCAGAATTGGTTGTGGTTGTGGTGGTCGCTGCTTGAGGTTCTTGCTGCTGTTGTTGCGGGAAGGGCTGAACCGAGGTTGTTAAGCACTAAAGATGTGGCAGCCAGTGACGGAAACGAGAACGAGATGGAGGACCGCCAGGGGTGCAAGGGTTTGCGGGTGAGGCAGAGAATGTGCATGTGCACCTGACTGGTGCAGGCATTTCGACACGAAAAGGCTGCTTTCAGGCAGGATCTGACCGAGCTACTGATGTATGAAGAGGAGATAGACGCCAGGCACTCAGTTCAATCTACGTTGTGGGAGTGTGCTCTGCGGCGAAACAAGTTATTGGTAGGTTGATCTTTTTGCTGGCCTGCTGGAAACCAACAAAATGAGAATGTGGCTGACCAAGCTGCAGGCCCAGTTGCCGGACCATGCTCTGCATTCTGCCCAAACTCAGCCTTGGCACGTGCAGGTCTCTGCTGAACTCCCGTCAAACGATTTATTCAACTTGCTGGACACAGCTGGCATTGGTCATTTGACGCTGGATCAGCTACTCGAAGGGATGCTGAATCTCAGGCGAGTTGGTGCGGTGGGGCTGGGATGCTTTCGCATCTTTCGCACTGATGCTCCAGCCGCATTGTAGACACTGTAGTCATGTTGTTGTGTTGTCACAAGGGGCTCTCGCTTGAGGGTGCACTCCCTCCTTCTACAGCAGGCGCGGCTCTTTGTGGTTGTATCAGTACTGGCTTGCTGCTAGCAACATGGAAGCTGCGGTCTCGGACTGCACATGTTGCTGAGCCATTGGGCTTGAAGGACTTGCGGTGCTACTGCCAGGACGAATTGGATGCTTTGCACGCTCTTTGGCTCAACTGATGTGGTCCACACATGTCCACTAACATTCATCATAACTTAGCCTGTACAGAGCTATCCAAGGAAGTGGAAGCAATTGTACACCATCAGACGTCGAAGCATCTCAATTCTTTGAAAGAGACCTTTGAGCAGGACGATAGCTGATTCGTTTTCTGTTGCAATGTTGCAGCATAAGCCTACCCTGTCATGGTTTTCCAGGAGCTTCAGAACATGCGCCAGCTCGTTGAGGAGCCGGGTCCCAACACAGCAGGCCGGAGCTTCTGTTGAATTGTAGAATTACGTGGGCTGCAAGATACGGAGATACATTAGCTGTTTTATGTCAGCACCTAGCTTTTTAAAAGCAACGACTGCTTTGTGGAATACATGACATCTGCAGCTAGGCCAGGAGATCGTGACCATCCAAACGGGGAACTACGGAAGATACTTCTATGGTGAAAGTCACTTGCCGTTGGTCCCTTATCCTTGCTACTTCGAACCTGCTATTGGGCAGTGTCTATCTTACTTCTTCCCCACTTCACAGGTGAGGTTGCTAGCTGCTGTTAGATGTAAGTCCAGAACCCTCGGACATGAGCGCACATGGCCGATCAGGGATACATGACAGCCTGCAGGACAGCCTGACAGAAGCAAAAGGACAGCAAAGACCAGCAAGGACCAGCCAGGACATAAGGACAGGATAGGAGGACAGGCGCAAGTGAACAGCAGACAGATGCAGAAAGGAGCAACTGAGGCAGGCGGTACACGACCAGAGTAGGGCTTCAACCAGCAGAGAGAGGCAACTCTACGGCGAGGCGTCAGGAGGCGTCAGGATGCGTCAGGTGAGCAACTGTGCCGGAAGGCGGACAGCTGTAACAGAATGTAACCAGCAAGTGAGGCGTCAGGCAGGCAAACGTACCGGTGAGGTGGCGGGCAACTGTGCCAGAATGAGGCGTAGCATACAATACCATGAGTACATTTTGGTGACCGCAAGCTCAGCATTTTGGGTTCAGGGACTGGGCGGGCATGATCAAAGTGGCCGAACTTTGGAGCAGCCTGCTTGTGATGGATTTTTCATGCGCGTTTTTCGTCTTGCCAGGTGAGCCAGCGCTGTCTACATGGACCACTGAAAGGGAAAGACTGCAAAGCCTGGTGGCTGAGTTGGGGCAGGATTCCAAGATTGACTGCAGAGCTGCATTGATTGATGGAGTGAGACAGCTCATGACAAGCCAACATCTGGTGATTTTGCCATATTGGGAAATGTCGAGAAGCATGCCAGCTCACAACTGATGCCTGAGAGTTTCCGGCTTGGGCGTTATCTTGCGGGAAAGTGAAACACCATGATGCCCGAGGTTATTGTCGGGTTCGAGGGACTGCAAGTGAGTGCATGAGGGCTGTCAAGGTAGCACTCAGCTTCAAGTGCGCAATCATGCCAAATGGCAGAGCTTCGCACGTGACATCTTGGCGCAACTCTTGCAGACCCAAAGGATTTGAGAAGCTGTGCTGCATGCATCAAGTTGCCAGATCTTTCATGAGATCAGATAGAGAACTGGCTGCCAGCCGTTTGCAAACCCAACATTTCTGTCAGGGTGGTTTGATGGGTTAAGTCAAGTCTTGATTCATGGATTGATGCCATCGGAAGTCTGTGTAGACCGTAATTAGACGACCTGCAATGCTTGCCCAAGACTTTTGCTTCAAATTGGCAGGCGCTGTTGGGAAGCATGTGGCACGCTCCAGAAGCTCTGGCTGCTCCAAGGGAGGCCTTGAGTTGATCAGGTTTAGTCTTCCACGCCCAACCTGCCAGAAGCAATGATTGTTTCAGACTCCACCTCAGTTGAGATCTGTTTCTTGCAGGGCCTGCGGGTTCAGGTTGCGGAAGCCTGAGTGCGTGTGCGACACTTCGACATAGAATGTGCAACCTTGGCTGCCATGCTAACAAGCAGTTGGCAATGTGGCTGTGCGAGAGACACGCCTGCCTCTTTGTGCACGTGTCTTGTTCAGCAGCCAGACTTTGAGTGAGGCCATGGCAGCTTACGGACCTCCAATCAGAGAACCCATCACCTATGAGATGGCCACGCCAGAGACAAGCAGTTGTCCGTGCAGCTGGCTTGGTCATGCTCTTGGCCATTCCAAGGAAAGGCGTGCATATCTTGCCAGGCGCATGGTGACTACTTTTCCATGGGACGGTGAAGTAAATGTGAAGTCCAGCCCTTATGTGACCGCTACATGTACAACCAGTCATGACTTGTCCGGATGCCTCCTCGTTCGCAGTTTGGCAATTTGCAGTTTTCTAGTAAGATGGAATAGGAACCTGCGGTAGATGGCCAGAGTAAGTTCTGTCCTGACTTATCAAAGTGGGACGGCGTAGCCTATGGCTTATGTTCTTAAACTATGTATCATCACTGCAAGTGCCTGAGCCGAGCTCACAAGGCAAGTGCGCAAATGCCTGATTAAATGCATCGGTGATCAGCATGCTAGCTCTGACACATCACGAAAGTCTGGAAGACTGGCTTCCAGCCTGGCAGGACTTCCCACATATGTGCTGTCCCGTTCTCCTAATTCGGTAAGGTTGG